GGTGGTTTGAAACAAACAAGAACTCGAAAAGAACCTCGCGCGCATACCTTGCAGTGCTCTGCATTGCGAAATGGTTCCATCACAACCCACACAGTGCTAGCTGATCAGGTAATAGCCAACCGAATGAATTCCAGTAAAGGTACAAACCTTTTCCCAATCCGGTTCTGAATTGACCCTCGCTCGTCTGCACAGCCGAGATCTTGACAGGAAGGCTTTCTTGTGTCTAATCTTGAGTTTGTATCTTGCAGTTCCAGCTAAGTTGAGTGCATCAGCAAGGCTTCTTCGCATTCCACCATTGCCCAAATGGGCAAACTTGTCAATGGAAGCTTCCAGTTGGATTCCCTCTCCTGATAAGATATTCGCGAAGACTGTGCTTGGAAATTGGGTGAGGTAGGATGGTGTCATAAATGTCTTCCAGTGCCAGGGATCAGCCAAGTGAGCAGCTTTATCCACACAGTTCTCTACAGCTGGCTTTGTATCAGAAGTGAACAAGTTATAGTTCTTGACTGGATCCAGTCGCCCCTGTCCTGGCTGGCTACCATCACTGGCCGTCACCTTGTACCTGCAGAAACACTGCTGCAACCTCTGCCTCATTATTTCTGGTTCTCTCATCTTCTCCCTTAGATATTTGGAGTACCTATCTCTGAAGACCTTGGAGGCTTGCATGTCGGAGATCTAGGCATGGAGTAGTGCTTGCCATCAGCAGATAGGAGACCATGTTTGAGAGCATATAGAACGTTCTCATAGTCTTCTGGTAAGTACTCATAAAGGCAATCCAAAAGGTCTACTATTGCTTGAAGTAATCAATGTGACCTTCCTCAATGTTGTACTGGGAATCTCTTTTCTCATAATGGAAACAGGTCCCAATCTGTCCCTTGCAATATTGAAGAGAAACTCACGAGACCAAATCATTCTTGTGCATGGCGGTTCACTGTACATGACGCTATTTGGGTAAGGTCTCCTGAAGTGGACATTCTGGCAGCATGGAGAAAGTGACTGACGTCTTGGTGTAGGGAATGTGACAATACCAGCTAGTATGCAGCATATCTCGCTAGCAATTTCTGTGCTTGTCAAGTTTTGCCCATTCCATCTGGAAGTCTTATGAATAGTTTGGCACTCATGCCAGTGTACGTCCTTTGAGCGAAGGCAGTCATCGGACACTTTGTGATCTCTCTTGTGTTGCCTTTTGTTGTCACTGGATCCTTCTACGGATTCCTGTTTGAAGACACAAGCAGCATCATAAGAGTCACGAATGGTGTACACCACAGGAGGAGGAAACTTCTGATGTAAGTGCCATCACTTTTGAAGAAAGGGATCAGATCAGTGTCGCTTCCTTGCCAGTATGAGAAGTAAGACATCATGGCTCTAAGATACTCTCTGTTGATTGCATTGTAGATGAGGCGGCTGCATAGTCTCCATTTCCATAGGTTAACATGATAGAATCGAATACTTCTGTTGCTGTTCGCTCCAAGTGACAAGCCTTGTTAGTAGAGCATACTTGGACTACCACTGGATAGAGCAATGCAGCATGGTCTGGGATCGAGACCAGCAATTCTGCAGAGTTGGCATCGAACCTTCTGTTGCAGCTTCCAAAAACCATGGACATGACATACAACAAGAAGGAGGACCAGTGATGCCAAAGATGGGAACAGGTCTTGTTCTTGGACCAGTTGTGCCTCGCATTCTTGAGTTGGCCAGAGCATCTTCACTATCAGGACAAGGTACAAGATTTCACATCGATTCCAGTCCACATGAGGAGGTTTCTGGCCAACAATGGGGTGTAGTGTGGTGATTGAATTGTTCCTCTGTGGATGGAACTGTCATGGTGAGTCCTTCAAAATTTTGGTGGAATTGTGGATTCATTGGCCGGATAATGGATTATGACACAGCTTCTGCCAGTACTAGCATTGCCAGTGGTGATCCTTTGGTCTTGTTGCTTTTCACAAAGGCATTATCTTTACAAGAGTGGTTACCTTTTCCTTTGACAAAGAGCTACTGAGTTGTGTTGGTTGTGATTTCTTCTGTTGCCGCTGATTTGGTTTGGCTGTGTTTGTTCTAGCAGAAAGAAGGCATCTCCATTCTCCTTTGTTGAGTGCTTCAGCTTCCTCTCTCATTGTGTGGAAGAGGAGCACTGAAGTGCCTTGTGAGTCTTCTGCTCTCTCTGATGGTTTCCTTGTCAGCTCATTCAAATCTCCTCTTCCTCTTGTTACTGTATTCTTTAATACAGAGAACGTGGTTGATCTTTTTGGGACTCTGAAACCAAGATGTCTGGCCTTACAGAGATGACACAGTTCTTGAATGGATCAAATGACTTCTGCTACCTTCATCCTCCCAGCGTGTTTGGGGTCTTTCGTTCCTCGCCTCTTATGTCTGAATCTGTTGTTGGTTGTTGGCAGCCAGTTGGTAGGCTCTCTTCTGTTGCGAGTTCCTCTGTTGACTTTGCAGCCCATTCCTCCATTGTGAGTGTAGCTGCTGCTGCTTGGTGGCTCCATGTCGCTCTCTTCCTCTTCTGCGCTGTAATGACTGTCGAGTGGTGTCGAGTGTCATTGTGGCTGTCGAGTGTCATTGTCGATCGCATGATCGATCGCGATCGGAAGAGGAATCCTTCTTCGCGAAAACAGAAACACGAAATGCGATAGTAGCACATTTCCTGTAATAATCTATAAATGGTACGTTAAGTATATTTGAATCTTCGCGACTCATTTGCTGACTGTCATAGGTTTTAGCCAATCACATCTGCTCCTTCTACCGCTTTCACCCTTAGTAGATCACAAAAAGCTTGTTGCCTTGCCAAAGAAGATCCTGTAGCTAGCTAGCATAGTAGCTAGATATGATTGGAAAGACGGGGAAGTTACACGTACGGTATGGTATGGGTTAGAGGGGACTATTGTGAGGGTGGGTTGCAGAGGAGGAGGCGAACAACCGAGAAAGCAGCAGCAACAGCAAAACCTAAAGGGATGCTGAGAGATTTAAACGAATTAGATGCCATCTCATGATACCGCTCTGATGAACAATAATTCATATGCCATCACGTGTAGTGAAAAGAGCAAAGAACCCAGCACAAATAACCCAAACTCGAGAGGCTGACCCGTGGCCCAAATTGTTCCTCTTGCCATTGGAGCCCTTCGACAATGGAGAAGCCAATTTACCCGCGCCAAACAAGTAAAATGAGGCACCAAGGTCGGAAGTGCGCATAGTTTTTGGTAGTCGCACTGGTCTGCAAATCTCCCAACTCTTGCTCTGCAGTGTCGGAAGTTGGTCAAGAATAATGAAGAATAGAAGTAATTTGGACGGTGGCAATTCTTGCGTGCAAGCGAGGGAAAGCAAGGAGTACATCTAGAGAGAGGAATAGGGACCATGGCTCTTGTCACTCAGTTTGTTGGCCACGGTATGAATTATTCGGAAAAATTGACCCATGCTGGGGCCGCTATATGCTTTCTCCGGGGATCGCTCTGGCAGGGTGTGGCCCCCTCAACAATCAGCGAGCTTGAATGACTTTTCGTTGTCATACCGTCGCCGCAGAGTTTCTTGCAGACGCAAGATCATTCTATCATTTGCGGTGGGCACATCTGGGACCATGTATACTTGATCCAACCTGCAATCATGCTGCAACCCCATAGTGATTAGATCTCTCAAGTCCTTGCTCAAAAATCGTTTCACCATGGAAGTCAGCAGATTCACAACCATACCAGTATGGTAATGCCTCATTTCTGATTTTTGTGGATAAACACTGATGAGCTGAGAGAACAGTTTCTGAAGTAGCTTGTAGTCTTGCTTCCGTGACCAGTCAACACCTTCACACTCAATTAGCACAATGTGGCCTTTGCGAATTGTTGCCATGTCAGGTGTCATTGTTGTGTGAAGGTAGTAAGCACCCGCCATCCAACTGTCAACTTTGTCAGGTGTTGACAGCACGGTCGTGTCAAAGTACTTTGTATCATGAGCGAGCACATAGGTGCCATCCTCCTCGCTAAAGCCCCAGCTCATCATCATACGTGGAAACTGCCGGATCATGAATTGCAGTTTTTGGCAGCCTTCCTGGTAAGAGTTTAAGATCTTGTACTCTTTACAGAATTCCTGCAGTCCAAACGCCTTTTGGACAGCTTCTTCCATGTTTCCCTTTGCGGCAATAGCAAGCTGGGCGCACATAAAATCAGACAAATTTTCCAGGTCAGGATACCCTTCCACAATATCTTTGACTTCTTTGGCCCACTCCAGCTCTTCTCTTGTCAGTTTCATTCGGAGAGGGTCGTCTCTTCCCAAAACTGAAGGGATGTATTCGGATTCTTCCGCACTAATTACACCATCATCCTGCCGCGCGTTCACGACAGCGACATGCTCATTCTCGCCTTGGTTGTTTCCATTCACTTGACCCTCGCCTCTTCCTTGCTCATTGCCATTGCCTTCCGCCCCAGGCCGGTGGTGCGGCTCTTCTCGGGGATGGTCCATTGCTTAATGCTGTGGTGTGCTATCTGCCTTCTGTCGCGATCACAAGAGCTGCTCAGTAATTATGTGCTTGCGCCTTATGCCAGTCGATTGCCTCGAGTAAGTTCAAAAGTGTTGACCGTAATAATCAACCGGTCATTCGCGTTCCTTGCAGAACCAGTTGAAGTTACATCGATATCGCAGTCTGTTCGTCATCTCGCAGACATTATTGCAATTGCCGCACAAATGCGAATGTACTGGTACCTGGTACCTGGTACCGGTACAGGTGTACCGGTAACGGGGGGGGTGCCTTCAAAGCCTCAAAGTGGCTTCCGCGCCTCTGAACTTATCCGACATATCCGAAACAGTTCCCCAACCACCTTATCTCAGGTTTTCGGCTTTTGCAAAAGAAAAAAGGCAAAAAGGTAAATATGGTTGAAAGTGGTTGAAAGGCGATAAAGTTGGGTGTTTATACGTTTGAAGACCTTTGTTAGAAGATAGTTTACTATTTGTAAGCTGGAAAGAAGTGGTTATAAGTGGTCAAAATAAAGACAACACTGAAAGTGAGCAAATAAGGGAGGTGAAGGAAATATTCAGCTGTATGGAGTGTTGATTGCAGCCACCCAAGCTCTAGCTAGCAGACAACCACGGCTGAACTCATCCACTTCTCAGATTCAATTCTCGAAAGCAAGGTGTGGTCCACTCCAAACTACAGGTATCGTTGCTGCTTCTGCTGTTACAAAAGCCCGCTATTAGCCATTGACAGACAAACATGGAAGCGATTATTCGAGTAGAGGAATGTCAAGAAGCGGTTGAGTCCGATAGAGCTCGTGAGCCCAACGAGGAGTTTGAAGAGGACTCTGTCGAGGAATCGGAAGCGAGCAGCAGTAGCGAGTCCGCCAGTGACGAAGAAGATGAGACGGAGAGATTCGAAGATCCAATTCCCACAGTTCTGGGGATTGACGATCCCCGGCGAATGCAGTTGACAAGAGAAGAACTAGAATGGGCAAGGGATGTGAAGGAACTCATTGAGGGGTATCCCGAGTTGGAAAATCTCTCGGATTTTATGTACGCCCAGCTTGCTATTATCTCCCGAGGTGATTTGGAGGATGCTATGCGACGTGCCATTGGGTTGCAACGCTTTCGACAAGAGTACAATATCCACGACACACAAGAAGCGGGAATCCAGTGTCTGCAGAGAATGACTCAACTCTTCCCGCGCCACTTGCTTTCCTTTAGCTTCAGCCAAATTGAGGGAACCTACCTTTTGATTCATGATCTGACAAAACTAGACATTGATGTCTTGACGACACAGGCCAAAGTTGACAGTTGGATGTCAGCATCATATTATCTTCATACGGTGCAGTGTCCTGATCTGGCAACAATACGCAAGGGCACTATTGTGCTTGTGGAATGTGATGGAATGTCTGTATCCTTCAAGAAGGATTTCAGGCTCTACCAAGACATGTTTTCTCAGCTGGTGGCAAATTATCCATTTGTTGGACAGATGAGGTGCTTTCACACTAACACGGTGTTCAATTTGCTTGCATCCATGTTTCGGAAAGTGTTGCCAAGCCATCTCAAGAATACGTTACTGACCGGCATGACATTTGATGGCCGTCTAGACACTTACTATCTGGTTCCTGATGCTGAAACTGCCACTAACAGAGTACTGCTTCGTTTTGAAGAAACACTAATGCGGAGGTACGACAATGAACGATCATTTCGTCTTGGTTAATTTTTAAATTGAAAGGACCACGGCGCTAATTCAATGAATGGCTTTCATTTGAAGCACAAAATTTCTGGCTCTCTCTCAAGTCATCTAGCTAGTTTCGTTCTACCAGCACCACTCTCTCCTTCTTTCTTCAAAGGGTTCCTCCCACTGAAGATTCCAGCTTTAGCTCCTGTGGCTATGTATTGATATGCCTCCTGGCTCGTCTCCGTTTCCATAAATCTTTTATTACCAACACCTAGTATTCGCGCGCTCCGCGCGCTCATCCCTTTCTCTGCTTCGCCCCGATCCTCATTCATGCGAAAAATGTGAAGAACGCAAGGCGACTTTCATGTGCATGTACATGCGTTGACTGTATCCCGTCAATACAATACTAGTCGAATACGTAGACTTCTACAGAGGCCTCTAAGTAATGCGCGCGGGGTATAATTCAAACCTCCACTCCCCATCGGTACCCTTACCCCTAAAAGCAAATCGTCTCCGGGAGACGAAATACCTGGCAGTGGATGTAGAGGTAGGCCAAGACTAACAATACTAGTACCTGCTTGTGCAGTACTGGTGGGTGAATTGAATGACGCAGCATTCGGTGGGTCCTTTGAATACAATGTCATGTACCGGTACCGCACCCGGCCTTTGAGATTTCCTTGGATCTCACTGGATGTCGGGTACAATTCCAGTTGCCTTCTCATTTATTTCTCAATAGCTCTTCTCAAGCTTCTTCTCATCTCCTTCTGACCTTTCGGTGAGTCGAGTCGAGTCGAGTCTTTTCACAAAAGAAGCAAGTTTTCTGTCACAACGTCACAACCGCGGTTACCTGGATATAACCGTACAGCGATGAGCGAGGTTAATTATTGAGGGTGGTTTTGTCCTCTGCCCTCTGGGAGAATGGAGCACGAGCCAAGACGTAATAGTACCGCACAGGATAGCAAGCAGAGCCCAGTCCAAGCGAGTGTCTATCTCGATGCCGTCGAGTATGATCAGAGCCAACGAAGCAGAGGATGCCAGTGCAATACAAGCACATATCAGTGAGGGAGACAACGAGGACGCGGCGGATCCTGATCAAGAACATGACCAGCGCGAAAGTGGCTCGGAAGATGAACAATCACACGATGATAGCGAAGGAGATAATAACGGAGACGATGGCAGCGATAGTGCAGAGCAAGCGGATCCAATCCCCTCAGTTCTTAGTATCAACGACCCGCGGCGTATGCAGTTAACAAGAGAAGAGCTTGAATGGGCAAGGGATGTGAAAGAACTCACTAGGGGGTATCCCGATTTGGACAATGTCTCGGATTTCATGTGTGCCCAGATTGCTATCATTACACGGGGTGATTTGGATGATGCAGTGAGTCGGGTTGTGGCACTGCAGTACTATCGACAAAACTACAAGGTGATCGATACGGAAGACGATGGTATCCGATATCTGAATTTCTTGGTGCCTTTCTTCCCAACACAAATCTTGTCCTTCTGTTTTAGCATTTCCGAAGGCACATATCTCTTGGTTCAGGATGTAACAAAAATGGAGACCTGTGCCCTCTCTGCTGCCGATAAGGTTAATGACTGGATGGCAGCCAGCTACTACATGCACAATGCCATGTGTCCTGATTTTGCCACAATACGAAGAGGAACCATTACCCTTTTGGAATGTGAAGGCATGAGGATAGACCAGAAGCAGGATTTCAAGTTAATACAGAAATTATTGTCTGAGCTTCTGTGCTACTATCCATTCAAGGGAGAGATGAGGTGCTTTCATACAGGAGTGGCCTTTAACATTATGGCTGCAATAATGAGAAGATTGGTTCCAGAGGGCAAAATAATGACTGGTTGCACCTTCGAAGGGCGGCTCGACCAATTCTACCTGCTTCCAGATGTCACCACTGCAAACCGAAGAGTTCTCGAGCAACTGATTCGAGCTCTGAAGCGGCGCTACGAGAACGAAAAGTCCTTTTCACTTCTCAACCCAGGTATTGTCGGGAGTACCGGTAGCTAGAATATGAATTTCAATGCAAACTCTACAATTTTCAATGATAGAATTGGCTTGCCCGGACCATTGCCCTCTAAAACAGTGCTTTCTCTGGCCAAAAAGGAAGGATGGTACAACTGGACTAGCTTTTTCTGTGGCTTGATACACCAATCCCAGGATGACAAAAGGCAAAAGAGACGAGGATTTCCGGAGCATGCCGTATCCTGCTCTACTAGAACTTTTCAACGCAGACTTTCACTCGGCATAACAGTGGAACATTTACCATTCCAATCGAATTGCTTATCTGGCTAGCTAGCTACTACCGTAGCAACCTTCTACCGTTCCATTCAGCTGTGCCACTCTCCGCCTTGTGTCTTCACACCAAACCTCCACGATGATGGCCGAGGAACTTCGGAGCTGTCCTGCACCCTAAATTGAGGTCTGTCCGTCTCCCAACAGCCGTCGTACTTTTTGGATTGGCCATGAGCAATCTTCTGCCGTCATCTTCCTTTGTGTTTGCGTTTGTACAACCTGGTTCTTGCTGCTGTTTACCGGTGTCGATAGAAGAGTGTAAAGAGCTGCAACCATGTCGCAACAAGGAATTTCCAAAGTGGTCGGCCAAGCGCTGCGGGAGACTGGCACCAGATTGCGACAATTGGGTGCCGATGAGGTAAGATCGATGATCGCGTCCTCTTGTGATGCGTGTAGAATTCCCATAGTGTATCTGGGGAGTAGAGTGCTCACCGTTGTTTGCTGTTCTCTATTCTGATGTAATGTTCAGATCTTCACACGGCATCGTCCTCGGATGTTTTTCAATGGCAAGATGCCTTGGAAAACGAATGATACTTTTATCGCTCCCAACGCGTCAGTGATTGGCGATGTTACCAATTGGGATCGATCCAGTGTTTGGTACGACGCTGTGGTGCGAGCAGATTCCACCTATCCCATTGAAATTGGCTACTGCAGCAGTATCGGTGAAGGATCGGTCGTCTCCACCTTGCCTGCCGGTCAAACACTCAAGACGGGCTTTGCTCCAGAAACCTTTATTGGCCACTACGTGACGGTTGGCGCTGGATGTGTCCTCAAATCGTGCCGTATTGACGATCTAGTAGAGATCGGAGACAAATGCACCATTATGGAAGGTGCAATTGTGGAAAACAATACCAAATTGGAACCTGGCACTGTGGTTCCTGCCTATGGACGCATCCCCAAGGGACAACTCTGGGGAGGCAATCCTGCCAAGTACGTGCGAGAATTGACCGAGTCCGAAACCGATATCAACCGGTACAAGAACAATTGCAAGGCGATCCATGCCGTGGCTTACGATCACATGGTGGAATTCTTGCCCGTTGGCAGCACCTACATGCAATTGGAGGAACTGGAAGAGGAAGCTGCAGCTGCCGAGGCCAAGAAAGCAGCCTAAATAAATAATTCACTCAACTCACTCATAATTGTTGGCTACGGTAGCTCTGGTCAGGTCCTGCAGTGCAGTCAGTAATGTAATCGTTAACTCTTAACTTCACGAATATTTGGTATTATTTTAGCAGATCACTAGCTACCTACCGGTAGCGTCGCGAACGTTCGATGCGATGGAGGGAACTGGAGAGAGACACCGGGAGCAGTATGCGGAAGGTACCAAGAACTAATAAAAGGTGCAATCGATGACAGATCTCCTGTACCGCTATATCGGGACGACCAACGCACAGACTTTCCTGTTGCCTCGGATGAGTATCATTCCTCATAGCTACAGGCAGCATGGAAGATGGCACCGGATAGAAATTTTCGTCTCTAATTATTCTTACATCATAGTTTTTATTCTTCTGGTGTCAACAAGGGCGTGTCTTCGGTCGCCCCTTCTCCATGTTTTTCTCGTGTCGTGGGGATCATGTCATGCTCTACCAAATATGTATAATGCAGGCGCAGCGCCATCTCCCACCCATCCTTGTCGGCTGGGTCCGCATACACTTGATAGAGAACACCATGTGGATCAAACAGTGCCTTGGCAGATGTATTGCTCGAGACTTCTTGGAATGCTTTGTCAGCATCCACCTGTTCTTCCCACGCGGCGTGATCATAGCAGTGTTCTGATTCCTCCATGTCTATTCTCTTGGCTGCCACCATGACCCAAAACTCCACTGCCTTGTTGTTCTCTTCGTGATGATGTTCTGTATCATCGTCGCACAGTGGTTGATATTGGTTCATTTCCTCTTCGTCTTCTTCTTCTTCTGATGCTGCCTCGTCCATCTTGTTGGATTGACCTCCATTTTCTGCCAATTCCTTGGCCTTTTGTTCTTCTCGTCTCCGTCGATTTCTTCTGTGCATCCAGTAATAACCGCCCAAACCTACAATGGCTCCTCCAGCCGCCAGTGTCACACCCACCGGACTGGCCATGACACCGACCGCCCCAATGGTTTGCATAGTGGCCGTAAATCCACCAGCTGCCACACCACCTCCACTAGCCACAGCTTCGGCCGACATGATGGTGGCAGCGACGGAATTGGCCGCAATTCCCGACGCCGTATAGCCCATGGCACCCGCGGCCAAGGACGTGCCTCCCGTGGCGACACCAGTTCCCAGAGCTGCTGCGGCAACGGCCTTGGCGGCCGTACGATTGCGCTTTCGTTGTTCTTCTTCTGTCTCTGTGGCGGCGCGACTCTTGGCATCCAAAGCATGGTATTTCTGCTGAAGCGCTTCCCGCCATCCCGGTGATCCTTCCAGTTTCATGAGCGGCTCGCCACTGGCCGTATGGAAAATGGCCTTGCCACAATAAAACGACTCGAATGGACTGTTATTGTCGTCGTCATCGTCGTCTTCTTCATCTGATGACGGATGACCAATCCACACCATGGCATCATCGCTTTCGCCATCGTCACTACTCGTGATGGTCCCATCTTCCAGCACGACCGCCGTCGCATCAAACAGCTCCTCGATGCGTTCGTACGTGCCAGCGGGATAGTAGACAAATTCGTAGTGTTTTCGTTGGTATTTGCGAGCCAACAGTAGCAGAAAGGAAACCGTCGATGGGCCGGATTCTTCCGTCGCTGCCCGCGCCGCCATGAGTGCTTCCAACACTTCGTCTTCTTCCCACACTTTCATCTTGACTATAGCAGTATTCTATCAAATACTGGGCTCAACACTTTGGCACCTGGTATACACTTTGCAATCGCTTCCGGACGATAGAGCTGTCGGGGGCAGTTTCATGGAGTTTTGGTGAAAGAGGCGCTGTGGACTTTTGAAGCCAAAGCACGAACCAAAGAAAGCAAACCTCATTCGAAACCAGCAAGGCAAATTCTCAATCTGGGTCACGAGTGACTCAGTCGAATCAGAACAGAATGATCAATCAAATCGAATAAAACAACCGAACTAACCAAAACTAGACAAAGTCATCTGGGCCATGGATCTGCCAGGTGCTGTCAAATAATTGCATACCGGTAGACAATGCCCCAAAGACACAGCCAAAGCTACCCAAGAACGTATCTTATCTTTGGAGGAGTGTTTTGGAGAACCAGTGCAGGACGAAGTGTGCTGTGGAAGCGTCCTGTAGTATCCCCGACAACAGCATTAGTAGTACGATCCCCATTAGTAGTATCCCCAGCTCCAGGAACATGCCGTAACTTTGGGGGTTGGCTGAATACGGTGGTGCAAAAGGCAGGCACCGTGGTCGAAGATTGAACTTCTGTAGGTTTGGAGCTCATAGCGCGGCCCGCACTCTAGCTAGCGGGGCCGAAATTGGTACTCCATCGAGAACAGAATGCATGTGTTTTTGTTTTGCAGCCAGCACAGCAGGAACTCCATTGGGATGGACCTGGCCACAAGGTCCTCCATCATTGACTGCTCCTCCCTCCATCAACACAAAAGGCACAGGTAGAAAGTACTAGTACTTTACCAAAGCAAGAAAGCAAGGACCATGGTCGCCCTCTCTCTGAGCCAGGACAGCAGAGAAGGTTTGACTCATCCAAGCGGGTTCCTCAAAGATTGGATCCTGCTGTGGTATTCGCAGATCACTGTTCAATCGTAGGGGCTCAAAAGTTAAGCTTCCGCGACATTGAAAAGGCATCTATCAACGACTAGATCGTTATCTCTTTGATTAACTGCGGGAACGGTGTTAAATAGCACAGGTGATGTTCTCGATGACTCTTGGACATTCCCTTCTCTATGTCTCTGGTCTCTGCTGGCATTGCACAGTCCCATCTTACAACCATGCCAAGTTGCCGTTTCTTGGGCTTCTCACTCTTCTTTTTTGTTGTGAGAGGGCCGCAGCCAAACGGTCTTGCCTCGACTGAACCACAGCAACAACCAACTCCACAACAACAACGATAGCAGCAAAGCAACCACACCAGGTATCCACGACCCTCGTAGTGTTGCCTCTTACACTTGTCATCCTCCATCAATCTAGCTAGCTAGATAGTGCTCATTATCTGCAATCCCAGAGGTGCGCGCAACAGTTTCAGAGAAGAAGATACCCATAGTTAGAAGGGACTGTAGCCAACCACGCTTACTTTTCCGTTACGCAAGACCAACGTCGTCGCTTCCAGCAGAATCGAATCTTAGATCATCGAGTCCTGTCGCATTACCGTATAGCAGCAAGAAGGAGAACAAACAACTTCTCACCTACCCCCACAACCTTATCAACAACCAAATAGCTAGCTACAACAACAAACAAACAATGGCATCACGAGCAGAAGATACCGGCGGCGGCACCGCCATGGTCCGTCAATCGTCGTCCTCAAGCTGCGCGTCATCTCGAAGTTCCTTTTCCAATCTGGGCCAAGGCGCGCCGCCATTCGCCGCCAACGCTCCGTACTTGACAGTGATGAAGACGCAATTGAATTTCTTCATGACACGCTTGCTATTTATGCAAGAAGAAAAGGCCGATTCCTTGGGCGCTCGTCGCGAACGTCGCATGAACAATAGTATGAACGGGAGTGGCAATATGAATATGAGTGGGAGTTTCAACACCAATAGCACGCGCCTCGATAACCAACCAGCGCAAGCGCAGCAAGCCGAAGACCACGGCAATTTGTTGGGCCCCATGATGGAACCCGACGAACTCTCGACGGACGATATTTGCGTCTTTAACGACAATGCCCGCATCTTGCCCAATTCCCGCGCCAAGAGTTTCCCGGCCGTCCCCTTTCCACCCACGGCACCGGAATCGCCACGACCCGTCGAAGGCAAAGAAGGAGTGCTCGTTGTGGCACCTACGCATCGTCCGGCATCCCCCAAGAGTAACGGCAGTACAGTAGTAGTGGATCAGTTACCAGAAGCACTGCCGTTGAGTGACATGGCACTGGAAGACAGGACGAAAAAGGCAGCAGAAGAAGACGAGTTACCACCGCTGGAGCAACAGCACGACGACGAAGAAGAAGATACCGTCATGGAAGAAATGATGGAAGCAGAACAGCACTGTGACTCCTCGTCACCCCAAGACGAGACGGACGAGGATTCCGCCGAAGACGCCAAGCCCAAAGCACGTGCCAGTGCCGCCGCTGTACCTACGGGAGCACGCGTCTTTCCCAAGAATCAACGACGGTCCAAACGATATTCCACCGTCAAACGCAGTCAATCCGATGTCTCAGAACCGGACGATGCTGGTAAGATGGGCGGTTCCGCTCATTAATACTTGAGAGAGCTCAAAAAAAAAGCAACGCATTTTTGTTGGTTGGAGGGGGAAACGAAACCACACGACACGAAACACACACACACGCACACACACAGCACAAAAATCATCATGGCGGTGAAGGGTATCTGGAATTTACCCTACTAGCCACGTATCATCATCATTATTATAGCAAGCAACCTACTACGGATCATCTAAATCTACTAAAGCAAAAGAAAAGAAACTCGTCGTTGCATTGGCTGCTGGCGATTCGTAAGCTGCATTTACGGTAGATATCCTTGGATCGCGACGGCATCCAATCGCCTGAGCCACCAAAGAGCTGTGGTGCCACAGAAGCAAATAAATATAGTTTACGCCCGTTTCTTCGTTTCCCAAATATAATAAGTAATAGTCAAACGAAACGGTTCCTGGAGAGAGTGAAGAGTTGTTATAGTTGCATTCCCAACTTTTCTACTGTATGTCTTCTTGGGAAATAATGAATATTAGATCCTTCTTCGGCAAACTGCGAGCTAGCTAGCTGCTCGTCAGATATCATACCTACACTCTTTTTGGCTGTATCGGCATACAATAGCCCTTCATTTCCATCCTTCTATTTACACTAAATACTACCCCTCCGCCCTCCATTCGGTACTCCCCGGGGCACAGACAAATGTGACTTCTCGATCGCATCCGGGCAGCAGCGGATGTTCAAAATAAAACACGGCCCGTCTTGTTTGGTCGCCTTCAATATTGGTCACGCCCTTTCCGGCGGCAATGGCAGCAATTTCCGAAGCGAGATTGGTCCATTGGCCCGCCGCTTCGGGTGCCGTGGTCAAGTCCTGCAAATAGGCCGCACTATCGGACGGTGACAAATCGAGTGGGACAAATTGCGCCACAAATCCGGCCCGATCATTGGCCAATGCCAACGTGGTGAGTTGATCCAATTTGGCTTGGAGCGATTCGGACGATGTTTGGAGACATTCCAGTTCTTCGTTGGAGGGTCCGTCGGACGGTGGGTAGGATACTGGTTGTTGTGGATTATTATTATTTGGTGGTTGTGTGGGAGCGGATGGCTCTTGTGGGGTAGAAGCTTTGTTCTTTTGGGGGTTCTTGCTCTTCTTGCCCATCTTGTCTTGTGTTATCTTTGCTTTCTTGGTGTCTTGTGTGTTTTCTGTGTTGGGGTCTCTAAAATAACGAGTTTGGGCTGTGATGCGTGATGATGGAATGGTTGGTGTTCGTGTGTGGATGTTGGAACGAAAAATAAAATGAGGCAAAGTCCTGTTCGTGACTCAACGGAAAGAAGAAGATCCATCACCAAATCTTGGACAAAAAATGAGGCGAGCTGATGAGGAAAGGTGGCAAAAGATGATGAACAACGACAACAACGGCTCCTCGGTATCATCGTTGAGTGATGTCTATATAGGAACAGCTGGTTACTCTTATGCTCATTGGCGCCAAGGCGTGTTTTATCCTGGCCATACAACGCAGAACCAAGAACTACGGCACTACAGTGGAATCTTTCCCACGGTGGAGATCAACGCCAGTTTTCACGGAGTGCCAAGATTGGAAACCCTGCAGTCTTGGGCCCAAAAGTCCAAAGACGGCTTTGTCTTTTCCTTCAAGGTCCCACAGGCTGTTACCCACGAGAGTCGCCTGGAAAATATTCAAGAAGCCTTGACCTTTTTTCTACAACGCCTCCAAGAGGGCATCATGCCAAACGAAAAAGTGGGCCCCATTTTATTTCAACTTCCTCCCAGTCTTCCCAAGAATATCGATCGATTGAATGAAATTGCCGCTCTGGTTGCTCCACATAACAATAACAATCTTCGAGTCGCCTTTGAGTTTCGTCACGCCAGTTGGTACAACGATCCAGACGTAAATGCCGTCATGAAACGACACAATTTTGCCATGTGCCAAAACATTTCCCCCGATAATTCGACACTCCGTGGCGAGTCCACCACAGCGTCATGGCATTACATGCGCTGTCACAAACGCGCCGATCGGCTGGTCACGCAGTACACCGATGAACAGTTGGACTCGTTGGCCGAGGAAATGGTGGCACGTCGAAAACGAGGCCTGGTCCAATACTGCTACTTTCTGAATGATCACGAAGGAAATGGTCCTCGCAATGCCAAGACACTCATGCGGTTCATTCAACAGCGAACCAACAACAATAAGTCAGCACTGGTACACAACTGGAAACCGGATCCGACGGAAACCTCCATCACGTCGCTATTTGCCAAACAACAACAAACCAATGACAATGACAATCAGAGTGCGCCCACAAAGGCCATCATCTCCAGCCCTACTAGTAGTAGCAAACGAAAGACCAGAGAAACTCCCAAATCAAAAGCCACCACAAAGACTCTGCACTCCTTCTTTTCTCCGGCCGATACTTCCCAGCAACCACCAATGAAAGCCACACCGTCCAAACGCCCCAAACTTGTAGCCAACAACAACGCCATGAAGAAAAAGGGACAAATCACCGACTTTTTCGCCAAGAAGTAGTCCAACCAAATCCATACACTGGAGTGGCTGCGGGGAACGAAGTGTAGTGGCGGATTTTAAAATAAGATACAACAGGGAGTCAAGGTCATTGAATCACACAAGCTGTCAAGCTCCCTCTATAAGGTTTGCCCGGCACTTGCTACATGCAGTTGACCCACAACTGCATTGGGATCTCCCTTTCTCATTTTAAAATTTAAAAAACGAGCCACCAAGTTAGCTTCTCGTGTGTCACGGTTAGCTAGCTAGCCAGGACAGCAGGACAGCACTACGTCTTGAAAATTTATTTTGTATCCAAATACGATAGACAGCTGGCAACCCAACATTATTGTGGCAAATGGTAATACAATACTATCATAAATGAGGTATACCGCACCACTGGACTAGCATGAGTCGGAGTGCGGCTGACTAGTAGGACGTGCAAGAGACGGGGGTCTCTCGGTTCTTCCTCTGAAGATACCGTACTAAGAACTTCTCCGTCAGGTTTTGGATTTCGGACGTACAGTCGTACCGGTACAGCCTACATGTATCCTGATAGAGAACGAAACAGAACAATATATTATTTGATTGGCACTCTTGTTCGCAAGCTCATTTTATCCTAATTGATTGCTTTATTAGAATATCTTTACTGGATTTCTTTTGTATTTCATTCCGATTTGATCCCAGAGGTTGATGAAGGGCGACGAATACGTCCGCCACAGCAGCCTCATATTCATGATTGCTTCCTTGCTCGCTTTTATTAGGCAGAAGCAGGATGCAATTCCTGTGTGGCATTGAGGTCTGCATAGGCAACCCACTGAATGCGGTAGTCATTCTTGCCGGCAGTATTGGGGGAGAGGTGGTGGTGGTAGTTGTAGTGGACGTAGACAGTGAACCCATCGGGTGTTGGATCCCGGATGGATGCCGCACCATAGGTCGATCCAATGTCATCTCCGGTTCCAGAAAGCGACGTAAAGTAGGTTGGTTTGCTATCGGCTGCAAAGCCACAAGCGGTAGTGTTCACTTGCACAAAGATCTCGTCTTGCCAATTTCCTTGGCTCCATCCATTGGAGGTACCAATGCACGGTTCCGTAGACTTGATCTTCTTGATTTCCTTCTTGACGGCGGCCATGTCACGTACCAACTGGGCAAGCGTACCATTATCATCACGAACCAAATCACCGACAGTGGTAGTGGCAGCGGGCATGGGGAATGACTCATCATGGCGGCATGACCGGCCTGCCACAAAGGCGACCGCAGCCACGATCGAGATTACCGCAATCGCCTGGATAGCCGAAAAGATGCGACCATTGCTGCGTCCCACTCGAACTTCCTCAGCACCGCCTTTCTCCAAGTTGCGGTCTGTAGTTGTTGATGGGAGAGAATCTGTCATTGTCGCCAAATCGTCGAGAGATTTATTACGTTGTGGACTTACTTGTTCTGTCACCAAAATCTATTTGTGCGACGGAAAAGATTTGCCTCGAGCCTTGACGAAGATGGCAAAAGATCCAGGCGGGGCAACTCGGGTCCCATCACGACTGCGGAATCACGACTGCGAGGTCCGCGTGATCTCCAACCCTAACGTGATTCGACCCTTTGGAATGTGTTGAAAAGGGGTGAACGCACAATTTCTCTATTTTTTAAAATCAGTATCTTTCCAGCTCTACTGTCAAGTAGATTGGCTATTCGTTTTCTCTTTCTCTCTCGTTCAGATTGTGAGCTCTTAGACTGAGCTCCGATATGCATACATATACCAGGATCCTTTTGATCCTCTGCTTCTCACATTTTCATCCGTAGATAGATCTCGTCGATCTATCTTCCTGAAGTGCATGGTTGGCCCTGGAGGGGCTTTCCCGTTTTACTAAACCTATGGACCTTCATCTGTCCATTCATTTGCTCCGTCCCATCGCTCCTTGCTTTCTTCTCCTCGACCTAAGTTCCTGACCATTGTAGTTGCATCACCTAGACGACCGTCGTCCTATTTCTATACATCTGGCCATCTGATGATGATCCGATAACCATCTGATTTTGAGTCACAGATCCCCCAGTCATGGTACGTGACTGTGGATCCCGAGTCGTCTGTCCGTCACACGAAAATACCTTTCTAACAGTCCTTTCGCACTACGATGTACGTACCATCAAAAAGCTTGTGAGCTTGCAACGGGGAAATGTGTTTGGTTGCTGTCTTTGCTTTCATGTAGCTATTTAGAGCGGTAGCCTAACAGCTAGCTAGTAGTAGGAATGTCAAGGAGACAAGGAAACTGACTTCTATTGTATTGCTCTACCGATTTCTACCTGGCCTCGTCAGTGATTCCAGAGTTGAAAAACAGCAAGGACCACAATGTACTTGGTTTGCACAATTAGTAGTTGTCTACTTTACTTGTACTGCTCATCAGTGTCCAGTGTCGCTGTGTCGCTCCATTAGTATGCCAATCCAGCACAGCCAGCTAGTCCACATAGGCAAGCCACTGAATGTGATAATCATGACTGTTGCTTTGTCAGGAGTGAGGTGGTGTTTATTGTTGAAGTGAATGTAGATTGTGAACTGGTTGTGCTTTGGATTGCTGATAGATGCAGCACCATAAGTGGAACCAATTTCGTCTCCAGTTCCTGCCAGTGATGGGAAGTAGGCTGGTTTGCTGTTTGATGAGAACTTACAATGTGATGTATCCACAGTTGAAACAATCACATCTGGCCAATCTCCTTGGATCCAGTCAGAGGCTGTTCCCCTACATGGCGCAGCAGCCCTGAGCCTATGGATGTCCATTTTGAGATGCCAAAAGACAACAACTACCAAGAGCGCAATAATACCAAACTTCCTCGCTGATACACCTTTGGTGCCTGAAAACGAGAAAGTGCCGTCTTCACCATCACTTGAAGAATCTTCATCGTCGTCTTTGTCTTCCGGTACAACATTTTCACGTCCTGGGAGATACCCTGTCGTAGAAGTTCGCAATTGGTCACACCATGATTTCATGTTCTCGCTTACTCTTTCAGCTGTCGCAGAAGTTTTCAACTCGCCACACCATGACTTCAGACTATCCGTTGCTCTTTCAGCCCCGGTGGAAAAATTCCCACCCAAAGCCATCTTCTCTCTGCCACGACGAATGATACGCTTGCAGCCTGTGTTTCAGACCGATGGCTCATTGATGAGATGAGGCATGGCACCAACCCGTTCTACTTTTTGAGGTTTTCGGGGGAAGTTCGAGATTTGGGAGGTCCCGCAAAGGTGCATGGTGCTCCGTGGACCGTGGAAGCAGTGAACGTGGAAAAGAGACGGACTACTGCGGTAGCACAACAATCCGCCTCGTCCAAAGAGACTTCAAATCCCAACCAACCACACCGAAAGAGGCCAAGACTGTTCATGTATCCGAATAATGAGTCGCCTGGCTTGGCACCACACATCATTTGGTAAAGCAGCAGGAGCTTGATTCCAAGACAGCGACTCGACTCTAACTACAAGTGACGAGATCTTACTAGAATAGAGTGCTGCTAAAATCATTTTCCTCAGGTTTTATGCTTTCGTTATCCACGGTTCGCCATGATCACGCTAGATCCATCTTCAAACAGTGGCCCACTCCTGTGTTCCATTCTTGTAGTCCAAAAAAGCAAGCCACTCAATATGATAATCATCCCGGTTGGCTCTATCAGGTGCAAGGTGATGGCGATCATTGTAGTGTAGACAGTGAACCCCATTGGTGTAGGATCTCGGATGGATGCTGCCCCATAGGTCGACCCAATGTCATCTCCTGTTCCTGCCAGTGATGTAAAGTAGGTTGGTTTGCTATTTGGTGGAAAGCCACAACTGGTAGTTTTCACGTGAACAAAACTCTCGTCTTTCCAACGCCCTTGGTTCCAGTGGGAGGCGGAGCCTATACATGGTTGAGTAGCCTTGAGCTTTTGAAGATCAGCCTCAATTCTGCGATTGTCATGGTGGAGCTTTTCCATGTCGGCCTTGAGCTCACGCTGGAGTTGTGTCATGTTGTGAACCAATTTAGTAATAGTGTCATTACAGTGATGATCTTGGTTTGATGGCGGTGGTGGTGATGATGATGATGACCTTGAGCAGAAGAGCAACGCGCCAGCAAGAAAGGCAACACTGACCACCAACGAAAAGATACCACATTTCCTTGCTGATCCATCATTGAGTGCTTCTGTAAGTGAAGTTCTCAACTGGTCAGACCAGGACTTCAGAGTGTCGGTTGCTCGTTCCGCAGATGTAGCGAACTTTCCTCCCACCGCCATGTTGTGGATACGCTTGGTATGGACGCTTTTGCAGAGGGAGAGGCAGCCTGGATTTTGGAACGTCTTTTGAGCAAAGGAGATGGTTTCCCCCTCTTACTGTGAAATTTTCGGAGTGGGCACAGTGCGGCCGTGGAAAGAGCTTCCATCGTGGCTCTGAACATTGAACCTCAACCCTTGTGGAGTTTCTCTGAAGCTCTTTTGTGGCCATCAGACGAGCATCATTCATTGACGTTTGTTTCAAGTTCCAAACCACCAGAATTCACTCTGAAAGAGCCCTTGCTGCCGCTAGGGCTACAATAGCTGGTCAGTTTGCCAGAAGAAAGAGTCGTTTGCCGTGCTCAGTGAGTTGATCTATAGGCAGAATGTTGCGCCGCAATTCCATTCGTCGTCTCGTATTTCGACGGCATCCATCCGTGGTGGCATCGTCGTCGTCCTGTCGTGTCCCCATTCCTCCTGGAGGTAGTGTCACCACAAAGCCCTGCCTTTTCCAGTTTCGTTACTTTTCCGATGGCTTATTGGGTCACAGTCCCATGGCCCCCAAGGCTCCAGCTGCCGAAGGAGAAAAGTTGAGCATTCCGACGGAACGAGATGTCCAAATTGCGGGAGGCGTATTTAATCCAACGTCGGCCAAACGCGACAAACTAGCGGAACTCAAAGTGGAACTGCTGGAGAATCAGTTCACATTAGACGATGCCGCTACAGCAGCACAACTCCGAGACTTGCATCTCGCAGACGGCATTCAGTGGATTGCCTATACCGCAGAGCAATGTCGCTTACCAGAGCATGTGGCTACCAAGGCTCCTTCTGTGGTGCTGCTAAAAGAAGAAGAAGAAACCAAAGGGATTGATGATAAGGATACTACAGAAACTGCGAGTATTATTACTCCAGAAACTCCCACACTACTTCCAGAACTGGATCCAACGAAATGGGAAACCGACGAGGGTTTATTGGAAGTTGTCTCCTGGATTGCCGACCAACAGGCATCCATACAATCTACAGTTCCTGACAGTCAGCTCTCCCAGGAACAATGGGAAACCTACCTGGAAGAATTGACGCAGAAATTGGACCAAGCATTGGCCGCCTTGCCCCCGGGACGATATTTGTCACACGTCCGGGATATTTACACCGTTCCCGAAACACTAGTAAGCGTAGGAAACGAGGAACATGCCCAATCCACCTTGTTGAATGAACTGCAACAAGAATTGAGTGCCTTGCCAGAACAGCAACAATTGACATTGGCAGGGAATAAACTATTGGCACGATATCGATTGCTATTGACACGGGCTACCTGCGAGCATTTGAAAGCTTCGTGGGATGCCTTGACGACCCTCTCCGATGAAGCATTGGATCGGTTGGCCGTCGTGGGAGGAGAAGAAATAGAATCCCAACGACAGTCACTCTCCTTGATGCAACTCAACGAAGTTCTACGAGCGTGTCTGACGGGAAATGCCATTGATCGGGTTGATGCCATGTGGGATCTCGTCGATCTGCAGGGAGATGGATTGTTGGAAAAGACCGACATGGAGAAGGTATCCGTCTTTACCGTTACTGCGGTGCAAAATGCCCTCGTCGCCTTGTTTGAAGATGCCGTCGAGGCATCGCCGGTCCTACCGGTCGCAGAGGATACCGACAAACAACCTGGATTCTTTGCGCGACGTGCGGAAGCCAAGGCCAAAAAACGACTCACAAAGGCATTCCAACGCGCATCCGCCAAACACTTTGACGATGAAGTGGAAATGCCACATCGGCTGCGGTGTATTTATGCCTGGGCGATCAAGGCACATCAAAACAATAACGTCGATTCCGTGTTGATTGAAGCGTCGGGATGGAGTGGACGGAAACGATATGTCGAACTACAGCCCAAGATTTCGCTGCAAGAGTTTCGAGAAGCGCAACAGATTCATTTCACGCACTTGGATCGAATAGGGTGGGAAATCACCAAGAGTTTCCGAGACGATTTGTGGGTGGTGCAAGGGAAAGGACGGCAGAATGCAGAACTGCGTCGAGACTGTGCCATCTTTTTGCTGGTAGTAGGCGTGGTGGATTATGGTATAATCTTGTTATAGATGATGAACAGTCATTGAAATGATGAAGGAAACTCCAGCAATTCTACATGTACATGTAGTCGCACGCAGTCGCGACGCTTCATAGAACCATGAAAACCAAGGCAGAAGAAAGCACTTTTCATGATCCAGAGAGTTGTCACTCCATCACGGCATTGGTTGCTGCATGTCCTACATAGTAAGATCTGGTATGTAATTCTAGCAGCTCCAGCTAGCTACCGGTATCCTCCAGCTGGTCGTAGCTTCAAAAATAGGAGTATTGACCATTACCTGGTACCTGTGGGCCTGTTTAGTACATCGCTAGCAGGGCCCACTTCTTTCTCCCACACCCAGAACAACTCCAGGCCCAACTCGATGACCAAAACCAGCACCTAACCAAGACCAAAACGAGAGCTATCTTCTGGAGGTTTCAGTACTGGTACCTCAGGTCCATCTCCATGCCCACTCATTGAGTACACCACGACCCAGGACCTGCTGGGGTACTAGTACCGGTAACACTCTCCGGTTCCATCTTTACGCAGACCCCAAATGGGTCTTAAATATTCGTGACTCAGCCACTGAGTCAGTTCCTGATCCAATTGATTGCCTCCGCCTCAAGCAAAGATCCAACAAACGTCAACGGAGCCAAAGGAACGAAGCAACCTTCAGAATGATTCGATTCGCTGACACTTTCCTCACTCCAAAAGAACCAACCATTACTACTACTGTACTACCAACCAAACTACACAATATTCCAATATGCAGAAGACCATCATCAAGACTCTCTTTTTGGCCTTGTTGTCCTGGACAGGCAGCGCCTTTGTGGCCCCTACTCCCGCTACCCGCACCGCAGTCAGTCTCAAGGCTCTCAATGACAATGCCCAGTGGAAAGCGGCTGCGATCACAGCAATCGTAGCGGTCACTCAGCATCCCTTGGTTGCCTTGGCTGAGGAATTCACGTATGGCGATGATTATGAATATGGTGCTGTTTCGGCTCCCAACTTTGTTCCGATTATCGGCGGCATTTTGGCCATTGGGACGGCCTTGTTACCCATTGCCCTTCAATCAGGAGAAGAAGCATTTGAGGAAATGAAAGACTCGGACGGATTTGGACAAGGAAAGGATGTCTTGAAGAGCCGTAGAAAGTGAGCGAATGAGATATGGACCATGGTTTCGATGAACGCAAGGACGTCGATCTCGGGAACAATACTTTGAACAGAACTTGAGGTTTCAACAATGCGGTGGAGTAGAGTACTCTGAGACGAAGGCACAATTTGGGTCTGCTAAGCTAATCAAACAAGTCAACAAATGCAAAATTTGTTCATTATTGATGGACAGAACTGAGGCTGCGTAGGCATTGAGGCAAAATTTTAATCGACCAGTCAGTTATCCCTATTCGCCCTTCACCCTTCATATGGTAGTATATTATGGTCTGTTCACTGTATGAAAATATGTAACGAGTCCGACAATCTCGCCTCTGAGTATCTTGGGATGCCGCAATACTTTTGGCTGCATCCACCACGCTGTTTGCATTAGACTAGTTTCATGCGCTGGCTAGTGAACACTGGAGAGTTCACCTCTTTTGAATGCTACCAGAACCCTGTCATATCTCGATGTTGCTATTCCTAGCTAGGTGTTCTACATTCTACAGCATGCATGTGTACTAGCTATCCATGTCATCCGGGCAATTGGAACCAGTCCGACATGGCCAGTGCTTAACACTGGACCTGAAACCAGCCAAAGCCAAAAATACCCATCACTTTGTTTGCTATCCATCCTTGCAACGTCTTGAGGAACACATCCTCCTAGCCAGCTATAGCTATAGCAAGAAAGTCTTGGCAGTGGATACCCAACGAACAAGTGGAATCAAGTCTAGCTAGAATGAATAGAATATGCAGCTAAAGTACGTGTAAGTCTGTTGAAGAGTTTACTTCTCAATTTCTTTGAGCAGAGTCTGAAAGCCTGCATGTGCTTTGTCTCCCATTCGTTTCTTGAGCATTGGCACCTGTTTCTTGACCTTTTCCACGACACTCTTTCTGACACTGGGAATTTTGCAGAGTGCCGCGACGACAAAGGCGCCTCGATTAGACTTGGCAATCTCCATCAGCTGATCCTTGAGCTTGTCGCAGAACGCTTTGGCAAGCAATGGCTCTTCCTCCTCCACGTCACACAAGATGAGATTCTTAATGGCCAAATGACCCACTCGATCTTCATACAGCGAGCCCTCCTCGTCATCTTTCTTGGTCAACTCGTCCTCACAAACCTTGACAATGGCCTCTACCAAATCAGTGGGATGATAGTTGGCATAGACCAGTCGAATCAGGACGGATCCCGACAAGCTCGTCATTAATTCTCTAGCATGATTGGTACAGAGTTCAATGAGTGGCTTTTGCAAGTGTTGCGCCAACTCTTGGCGACGCGTTTCCGGATCCTTCTTACTGGTGGGAACCATCTGGCCTCCTTCCTGAATCATGGGAGGATTGGGTTCCAAGACGGATAACTCGTATGGATCAAAACTCTTTTTCCAGTCGTCCTTATTACTGGTCAAGAGCATGACAAAGAGTTTGTATGCCAAGTCATGCAAAGCAATTTCCAACAATGGATCGCTGTCATCGTCGTCATCATCACCATCTTTGCGTGTCAACAACTCGTGGAATACATACTTTTGTACCGACACGGTATCATCCATGACTTGAACCAGTCGCAAAATGGCCAAATAGGCATCCCGATGGAGAAGAGCACTGCGACTGTATCCTTTTAGGGATTTGCAAATGCGGCGTCGATCTTTGGCCGTTCCATAGGCGACACAGGCGGCAACCACCTTGGTCCCGGCTTTACTAGAGAGAAAGTGCACGGCATGATCGCAAACCGAAGGCGCAATGTCTCGCACTTGATGAGGAGAACAGTGTGTGACGTATTCGGCAAAGACGGATTGATAATAGTTGTATCCAAAGAGTGATTTTTCAATGCCCTTTTCCAGGATTTGATTGCGAATGAATGTGAGTGCTGTTTCCTTCTTTTTGTCATTTAGATTTTGGAAATGAAAGGCAAGATCGGGGGTTTGATTGTTGGTTCCGGCAGAAGCAGCAGCCAGATCATTGACAAAGAGGGAGAGCTGGGGACCGTAGAATTCTTGCCTAAGTGGAGCTGTGGATTTGTTGGGAAATGTCTGAACGAGCGCTTCTACCACTTTTGCTCCCGTGGCATGAACGGCCAACTTGGCCATGTGTCCCTTGAGCGACTTGACAATGAGACGAATACAATCAGGACTGTGGACGCCATACTTGATGGCCTTGAGCACTACAAAATGCGCATATTGATTCCGGGCCAATTCCACAAAGGCACTTCCGGAAGAAGCCGCCCCAGCCACCTTTTTGGTGTTGCTGTTGTCACAGAGTTCGCTCAAAATCTCCTTTCGCTCGTCGTTGGTTCCAAATTGCAATGCCGCCTGAACGACGCGACTGGCATCGTGCTGCAAAGCAATTTCCGTCGTTTTCCCCTTGATCAGTGCCATGAGCTCTTCCGTCATTTTCCGAGTCTCTTCCTTGGAGTTGTTCTTGAGACGGAGTTGATTCCAAATCTTCTTGGCCTCGGTGACACAGTCGGCATGTTTCCGATGCGATTGCCGTTCTTGTTTCAACGCTCGTTTCTGACTCTTGGCGGACACATCGTCGGACTTGCGTTTCTTGGAGTGCTGGTCCTTTTGCTGTTGCGGCATGGTGGAGGAGTTTTTGGAACTATGTGTCAAGTTGTTGTGCAAGGAAGGAGACAAAGTGTACAAAGAAGAAAATGAGGGCTCGAAATTGGTTGGTGGTGGGAGATTCCGTGATAATCCTGCTGAGCTGTTTGTACCAGCATTGACATCCAGGGTTTCTGAAAGCGTCCGAATTCCATTGTCGGCCACATTGCATGGCGCCGAGTTGATGAACTACCGGTACAAGCTTGTCGACGGGTTTCTACTATCTAGCTAGCTAGTAGCAATTGAAAGGGCGGAAGATTAGATAAGATAAGTCCTCTATGTTAGGGAGGTAAGTTGATTAGATTTGTGTCTTTAGCTATGCGGTTCAGTGAATTGGGCACCTACTTGCAGCAAACTGGATTCATCCGAGAATAACGGTAGTACCGCAGGGTGCTCATGATGATTGTTTCTTCTTCTTCTTGGCCAGGCTCTGTTTGCGCTCCTTGTAAGTCATTCCATTGTAATTGGGCTTTTCAATGGTAGAGAGGGGACGATCCAAGGGTTCCGTTGCAAATTGGAGCAAATGGGGAAACTTGTGCACTTCGCTCAGGCAAACAACAGTTCCACTCCCCGTCGGTGGCTCGTACAAGACGCATCGTTTGGTCCGAACGGAACGAAAGTAGTAGATTCGACGGTCCTTCCTGTTCAGATAGTATCGCTCGACCCAAATGTCACCATCGTCGTCGACCTTGCCCATGATTTCATCCATTCGATGGTCGCGCTTGGGTTTGAACTTGTCCATGCTAGTCTTCTCGCTGGTGGTGGCTTTTGGAATGGATTTCGTCTTCTTGATAGTACTGATACCACCACTACTCTGAGGCTGTTGACGGGGTGTGGAACCAATGCTGACTGCCGTCGTTCGTTCGTGGAGACTCGGGCGTTTGGCAGGACTGGCACTTGACATGGACGGTGACTTGGCGCTCTTGGTCTGTACTTTGGTAGGAGCAGTCTTGACAATTTCCGGGAGTTTTTTGACTGTATGATTTGAGGATGGCGCCGCCGACGATGGAGAAGCAATGTTCTGTACTTCGATAACCGAGTCCGCCTCGGCAATCACTCGAACTCCCAACTTGGTTGTACCGGCCTTGGACTTGAGCGAATGGCGGTGGATCTTGGGCGTTGGACTAGCAGGGTTCACGGCAGGATTCATGGCAGGCATCTGCAGAAGTGCGGAAAAGTTCATGCTGATCGAAGAAGCGATGTACGCACGAGCAATGCAATGATGTAATCACAAGTAAGTTGCCAAAGACACTTGCTTTTGTGGGCTTTCGCTGTTGACAAGCCGATGAAGACATCATGTTGGCTTTCGATATTTGATTTCAAATGATCGTGTGCAGGTATGTCTGGTTGATGGAAGTAGCGTGGCACGGTACCCGGCGAAGTTTGAATTGTGTGTCATGATGCGTGGGGTATCTTTTGCGAGGGTATCAGGATCGTTTTGATTTCAACCAATCGTAGGTCCGGTCTTGGGAAGAGAAAGTTACCAGTTTTGATTGTTGTTTGATGCTGGGTACAAGTTATCCGATCGAAGGGTGTCAGGATCGTTTTGATTTTGCGATGAGGGCATCTCGATTTCCCTTGTGTCGTCGTTTCTTTGACGAATGGTGATGTGTGATGTGGTTTGGCCTTTGGCTACTCCCCAGCCAAAATGAGGAAAGCAATGGGGAAACCTCTGGATCACTTTGGAAACAAATAAGGAATTCCACCTGAATGTTCCTAGGAGCATGACTGAAAGATGATTTTGTGATCAAAAAGCCACCATCTGCTGGTTACCAGATCTCAGTCAATATCCAACCAATTGACCTAGTTGTTCAATGGTATTCGTCAGCAATGATGTTGTTTTGAATGACATTGTCTTACTTTGTTGAGATAGACCTAGTGTAGTTGATAGTGTCATATTGGGTGTTTACTAGAAGGGGTCAATTTTGCACCAAATATTTCTAAATATAAGGGTATAGATACTGCAATTTGCCTTAATGCCAAGGCGTAAAGGCTGACTGATCTTCATGCTACTAGGTGATGTTAGGTTGTCTGTTTTCTTAAAACTAAGTAGTAAATGAGAACTTCCCCATTTGTGCTGTGGAGTACTAGTAGTCTAGTTGGAAGCAAAATGGATCAAAATGTGGTTGTCTTTCTTTTGAATTTTTGAATTCGCACGACTGAAAACTGACGTCAGCCAAGAAAAATGAGAAAGAATTGAGCAAGAACCGTACACGGACAAGCGTCGAAACAAAGACAAACAGTCTCTTGTAGGTACATTTAGCCACCATGATCGATCCAACCAGAAGCAGAAGGGCTGACAGGATGATGACTTCACTAGAGGCAAAGTTGGCATCTTTTCCATCCATACCGGTACAATCCCCTCCCTTTCAAGATCGCCACCAACCACGACAAGTTTTGAAATTATTTTGTTTTGAAGATCAAACTGAACTTGATGCCGTTTCTGATTTTGAAACTCCAATGCGTTTTTCATTTTGAAGCTTCAAAGCGAAACTTCAGCATTTCCCCATCAAACCACGCTCATTATTTTACGATGAATCGACCTTCATTCTCGTTTATTTCATCATTTCTTTTGTTATGGAGACACCATGGTACGTCGTTCCTTGTTCGTCTTGGCAATGATCCGCGGAAGATGGCACTGTTCTGTGCTTCTAGCGTCTCACGTGTCTTTTGCTCGTACTCTCTTCTTCAGTGATCCCAGCCCTTTTATGGAGACACCATGGTACGTCGTTCCTTGTTCGTCTTGGCAATGATCCGCGGAAGATGGCACTGTTCTTTGCTTCTAGCGTCTCACGTGTCTTTTGCCCTTACTCTCTTCTTCAGTGATCCCAGCCCTGCATTTCCTTGCTCAAGAGTATCGTTTCCGTCTTCCTTCGCGGCTTCTTTCGTCGCGCAACCTTGCCGAGAGCAACACTCGCTCCACCTTCTGAGCCATGACTTCCATTTCCGAGCCAATCTACCTGCATCATCATCTTCCTTTCATCTACCAGATATTCCAGAGTCTCTTTGCTCGTCTGGGCCAAGGTCGGTTGCCCACGATGTTGGCGTCTACGATGAGCCGTCATCTCTTGTCCTACGGCTCTGCTTGCCCATCCTTAGCGAGTCTTCAAGCTACATCCTGCCAAATCCCACGGCGATTCTTTTCATCCTCTACGAGTCTTCATCCTCCCTACTGCCTCCTCCTGCGGCTCGTTCTTCTTGTCCTTGGGGCTCTCCGTTCTGCTCTTCCACGCGATCGGCCTACCTCCTACATGCCTCCTTCTGCGGCGAGCTTTCCGTTCTGCTCTTCCACGTCTTCTTCCGCGTCTTCTTCCACGCCTTCAGCCTACCTCCTACATGCCTCCTCCTTCTGCGGCGCTCTCCGTTCTGCTCTTCCACGCCTTCAGCCTACCTCCTACATGCCTCCTCCTTCTGCGGCGCTCTCCGTTCTGCTCTTCCACGCCTTCAGCCTACCTCCTACATGCATCCTCCTTCTGCGGCGAGCTCTCCGTTCTGCTCTTCCGCGTCTTCATCCTTCATCCTACCTCCTACATGCATCCTCCTTCTGCGGCGCGCTCTCCGCTCTGCTCTTCGCGCCGCGTCTTCAGCCTACCTCCTACATGCATCCTCCTGTGGCTCTTCATACTGAGACGACCCGATTCTTGGAACAAAGGGATTGGGGTGGGCTGCGCAATGCTTTGAGAGCTGACTTGAGAGGCATTGGAGTCTGGAGCCTAGCTGGCACTTTGATTCTGGTAGTATGAGTCTATGTTGGTCCCTGCTCCTCACATCTTCATTTTCTCTCCCCCCGAGGAGCAGGGACCAACATGACTCATACTACCTAAATCATTGTCCTAGCAAGGCTCCGGACCTATGCCTCTCAACTCAGCTCTCAAACCATTGCCCCTGGGTTCCAAGAGTCGGGTCGTCTCCTCCCTCCTTCCTCCTTCCTCTCCTTCCTCCTTCCTTCCTCCTTCCTCCTTCCTCCTTCCTCCTCCCTCCTCCCTCCCCTCCCCCTCCTTCCTCCACCCCCCTCCACCCTTACCCTCCACCCTTACCTCCACCCTCCCCCTCTCCTCCTCCCTTCCTCCCCCCCCTCCTCCCTCCTTCCTCCACCCCCCTCCACCCTCCTCCACCTTACCTCCACCCTTACCTCCACCCTTACCTCCACCCTTTTGTCGAGCGTACGACTCTACGCTTCCTCCACCCTCTTGTCTAGCCTATGACTCTACGCCGTGTTTTCCTTACCGAGACAACAGTAAGGTTTTTGTCCACGAGCAACTATTCCCCACGTCGCCATCTCCTGCTGCATACTTGGTAGTGTAACTTAGTTCAAAGTCAACCAACCAAACTTCTTGTCTTCTTTAGTGGTTTGTCTTCCTTGGTCGTCCGCGGCCTTTACTTCGTAGTAAGGTTTTTGTCCACGCAACTATTCCCCCCCTGCCGCTATCTCCTGCTGCATACTTGGTAGTGTAACTTAGTTCAAAGTTTCCAACCAACCAAACTTCTTGTCTTCTTTAGTCGTTTGTCTTCCTTGGTCGTCCGCGGCCTTTACTTCGTCAAGTAGCAACTCCATCAGAATGCGACCAAGTCGTGCCCTCTAAAGCATTGAAGCAGAGACATGTAAAGTTGCTTTACGATATTATGCATTATAGAAATCCTCGCAATGAAATGAATGGAGGAACTCGTGCACCTGATTCATACATAGTTCAAAAATAGGTTCTGTCTGGGATCTGAATCGAATCATACGTAGTCGAAAAGGTTCTAGTTGGACAGCCAATGTGGACCTCTCCCGCTCTCAAGCGTCCTTGCACCTTGGGACTCTCCTCATTTATTTTGCGGCTGAAGCACCACAGGCATTCCAAAAGTGCTCTTTGGTTGCTTCCTCTCCACCAGCATGGGCCCTGCATTGTACGTTGATAGCATCATCCAAGGTGACATCAAAGTTGAACCAACCGGCTGGTAGATGCAAAAGATCGCCTGGTTGCAAGATGACTTCATTGGCTTGCGCCTTTCCAATAATAGTATCATTCTGATGATCTGTTGCTGCCGTAGACCAGTCCACCGTGGTATGTCGGGCGTACTCGTGTTCCGGAGGAAAGACATTCATGTGGAGACATTCAGTTGGGTTTGCCTGCAGCAGAGGAATGTGGTTGCGAATGTGTGTGATGGGGAAGTGAGAAATGGTACTGAAGTATCAAGTATCATGGAAGATCCCCAACGGTGACAACAAAAGCGGAACTCCCGTACTTACCAGAATGTACCTTCTCGTTCCTCCCAAGTTGGCCACAAAGTTGCGATATTCGTCAAAGTATGCTTCCTGCACAACTCCCTGGGTATCAAACTGGCAACGGATGATCGTACTACTACCGCTATCACTGCTGCCACTGTTGGTCTGCCCTCCTCGCAGTGGTTTTGGCACAGCAATAGAGTGCATCGCACTAGTACTGTGTGGATCAAAAAAGGGCAGTTCATCAAACAAATACCGGTTGTTTCCATCATCTTCTTCCATCAATGATCCCGTGACTAGAAAGGTCCAAGCTTCATTCGTTGTTGCTGTTGTTTGATTAGTATCCATTTCTTCTTCGTCTTCTCTTTCTCGATTGACTTTGGCCAACCATTCTGAAAACGAAATGACTTGTTGTTTGTCCGTCCCATTCCCGCTGTCTGGTTGTTGTGCATCAATCTTTTCGGCCCGCGAAGGTTCCATCAACAATTGTTCCAAGTATCCGGGGGTGGTCCATCGTTCCGTGGTTTGCAGGACAGCAGGCAGATTGCGCATGACAAACGGCAGATTGTGATGGCGATAATGAAATGCTTTTGGTAGGTCGGTTTCTCCATCAAAGATACAGAGACTTTGATACACCATGGTAGGCCCCATGTCATTGTTGTTGTTGGAAGAAGGATTCCAATTCTGTAACATGTCCATCAAGTTCCAATGCAGGGGATATCCCTGAGGGGGATCCTCGGGACAATTGTGTACATCGTAGGGCATGTCCGGTTGTGTGGGCAACTCGGGTTCTTGTCGCAACGTTTGTATGGCGTTTTGGATGCGTTCATGGTCATTGGGTGGATGATGGACTTCAAAAAAGAGTTTGGCAATGTTGGGGAGGGGAGGAAGCGTCTGCTTTTCTTCTAGTAGATCCCAGAACAATAGTTCCTTGACCCATGACCAAATCTTGTTAGTAGGGTGTTGTTGTTTGTGGTGATGCTGTCGTCGTCTCAGATCGCTGCTTCTGGTGGCATGAATAATCAAGTCATCGTTAGGATCGAGTTCTTCCAATCCCGAGTATGCCACTATCGACATGAGCAAGAGATAGATGAGGAACCAGAAACATCCTCGAATCAACAGACTGGGTTCGCGGGAGGACGATGGTACTGTCGTCGCCATGCTGATGGATTTGAATTCGTTTCAAATCATACAATCAATCTATTGTCACAAGACAATTTTGTGCCAGATCGTTGGTTGTAGTGTGAGATCTCTAACTAGTTAGCTAGTTAGCTAGCTTTCGAGTAGTACGAGAACTATGCATACAGTACGATTTGCCCTCGACAGCAGCGTTTGGCACAAAAGATTGCCAGATGCTTGGCCGTGTGAGAATCTTGTGAGCGTCTCTTTCAAAGGCTCCTTCGCCCCGCGTCTGGTAAATGTGCGTCTTTTATTAGAATGATTGAAGATCGATTGAATCGAATCATCCAGTCATTCTGGTTCAATCTGACGTCATTCAAAGGTCCCAAATCTGCCTACGTTGCTTCTTCATTCTTTGGAAGGTGATGGTACCGAACCACCGATAGCATTTGTGGCCGGACCCTGCGTCGATGAGTGAGTGAGTGAGTGAGTCAATGGGATACGATACCCATTCAGAGCTCTGACTGTTCAACAACTAACTTGGAACGCTTTCTTCCACAGGCAGCCATCGAAAACAGGTCATACAAGTTGCCTTCAAACAGCTCATCAGTCTGTATTCTACATATATATTTGTGAAGGATCAAGATTTCACTCAACAATTTGCAGTTTTAATATATCAGTCAGAAGAAAGACAATAAGCAAAGATGAGACTATCTGGGCAATGTTTATTATTTGTGGCGTTGACGGCGGCTGCCATTCCCCAAAGCGCAGCGTTTGTTCCCAGCAGGACATTGTTGGTTACCCAACCCAAGAATACCGAGCCTTCGACCACCAGAATCAATGCCGGACGACTGCCACCTCCTCCGCCGCCACCGCCCGAATCCAATGACTTGTTCGCAGGACTCTTGAAAAGTCTACAAGATGGAGCCTCGTCGACGACCAATAATTTGGAAGTTCCCAAAGTCCAAGTTCCTAGCATCGACTTGCCCCATCTGCCCGACTTGCCCAATCTCGATCTGCAAGCACTGCTGGCTCCAGTGGGACAACTGTTGGATTCATCGTCCGATCAATTGGCATCCGCCCAACAATTTCTTCAGGAAAATCTGCAACCATTTTTGAGTGACAATTATCCACAACTCCTGCCCGCCTATCAGACCTTTTGGAACACTCTTCAACAATTGTCCCTCGATAGTCCGTATGCCCCCGCGGCGGCCATTGTCGTGTCGACGTTACTCATTCAATCCCTCGTCGATCCGTTTCGTGGTATGGGACCCCAACAGCCGTATCCGCAAGGTCGATACGATCCTGATACCGCCAAAACCTATTTTGATCGTCGTCCCGCCATGGTTGCCGCCCGTGGATTGCAAGTCGTGACACAATCCCTGTCGTTTGCCGCTTCCTTTTTGAGCGATTATATGCAAGAACAACAACAACAAGGCAATCCGATTTCGCCGGAACAAGCCGAACAACGTGGACAAGAATTGGCCACGCTGTTGGTGCGATTGGGCAGTACGTATATCAAGGTCGGACAGAGTCTCTCCATTCGAACGGATTTGTTGAGTCCACCGTATATTCGTGGATTGCAAACGCTGCAAGATCGAGTCCCCCCCTTTGACAGTGACAAAGCATTTGAAATGATTGAAGAAGAATGGGGACGACCATTGGATCAAATCGTGTCCGATATTACTCCCGTGCCTGTGGCCAGCGCCAGTTTGGGACAAGTGTACAAGGCCACTCTGAAAGATACCGGTATCGAGGTCGCCATCAAGGTGCAACGACCCGATATTATGGAACAGATTGCACTGGACATGTACGTGTTGCGAGAATACATTGCTCCCACGGCAAAGACTGTCGGTAAACTCAACTCGGATACCGTGGGGACGGTCGATGCCTGGGGACTGGGGTTTGTCGATGAATTGAATTACATTCAAGAAGCACAAAATGCTCAATTCTTTACCGAACAAATTGCCAAGACACCACTCAAGGATGTCGTCTTTAGTCCCACGGTTGTGGAAGAGTATTCCACAGCGCGCGTGCTGGTTACTGAATGGGTCGATGGAGAACGATTGGACAAGAGTTCCAAGGAAGATGTGACCACCTTGTGTAGTATTGCCATGAATACCTATCTGACCATGTTGTTGGAAATTGGAATGCTCCACTGTGATCCCCATCCCGGAAATCTGTTACGGACACCCGATGGACGACTGGCCATTTTGGATTGGGGCATGATTACCCAACTCGATGGAGACATGCAACTCACATTGATTGAACACATGGCGCATTTGACCAGTGCCGATTACGAAGAGATTCCTCGGGATTTGCTCTTGCTTGGATTTATTCCCGAAAATAAAAAGCACTTGATCAACGACAGTGGTGTGGTCGAGTTGCTGGCGGAAATCTATTCCACTTGGACTGCCGGAGGTGGAGCCGCGGCATTCAACGTCAATGATGTCATTAACAAGCTGCAAGATTTGACGGCCAAAAAGGGAAATCTCTTTCAGATTCCGCCCTACTTTGCCTACATTGCCAAGAGTTTTTCTGTTTTGGAGGGCATTGGTCTCTCCAACGACCCCAAGTACTCCATCATTAACGATTGTCTCCCCTACGTGTCGCAACGACTCTTGACGGACAGCGAAAGCATGCAGTCGGCATTGAATACATTCATCTTTGGGCCCGACAAGAATAGCGAATATCGTATTGTGGACTATGACCGTGTCGAACAGCTCGTGACCGGCTTTGGCGAATACACGACATCTGCCAGCGGAGCCCTGTTGGGCAAGGAAGATCTGTCGCGCACACAAGTGTTGGAAAGTGCCACCGACCAGCTGTTGGATTTGATTTTCACCGAAGAGGAGACGCCACTGCAGGCGATCATGTTGGAACAGTTGGCCAAGATTACGGCGTCCACAAGTCGATCATTGTGGACCGAAATGCGAGAACGATCGGGTACGCTGCCGTCGGGAAGGACCGTTCTTGGAACACTGATTGATCCCATTGGTCTGTGGAGGACGAGTCCTCTGGTGCGAATGAACGAATTGGATGAAAAGACCGTGGAAACGACTCGCAAGTTGTTCGTATTGGTACAGGAACAGGCACAATCCACGAGCCACTTGGATCTCGACCTTACTACGTTGACGCCCGAAGAGGTTGTCGAGGTATCGTCAATGCTGGTGCGCAAGGTGTGGGACAAGCGCATGGGTGTTGTGCAGACGGGTGGTCGTTTTGCACGACAACTCCTGGAACTGACAGCCATGAAACTGGAACGGGGTGAACGGGACACTCGAAAGCTCCCCGCTGCGGCTGACGATAACGAGAGCAGCAACGGCACTGAAGACGAGTCGGAACCGACGCCTCTGCTCGCACCCGAGAGGACCACACCACCGGTAATGTTGGCTCGCAATCGTGCGTCCGCAACACCTAGCCCTAGGCTGCAAGAGGCAAGGCAGCTGTTGAATCGTTTGCAGAATGAAGACTGAACTGTTTGCCAATGCAGCAAGCGATGATGGAACGAACGAAATAGATTGCAACAACTCAAAGAAAGCACAATGCAACTCGACCCGGCGGTTCGTTCGACTGTTTATAGCGCCGCAGAATAAGATAAAGAGAGAAAACTGTATAGAACCTCACGCAATAGTTGGGATTTTCAGTTTGAACCTTAGCAACGGCGTCTCCCGGGAAGATAGCAACCGGTGTGATGCTTAGTATCAAACAAATGGCTGTACCGGTAGTTTTGCAGCCATTGTCTGTTTGATTGATTGCTGTTAGTCCAGCTACCTTCGAGAGTACCTGGAGAGTGCCTACCCTCTTCGAGTATCTTTTGAGAGTGCCTCGCTCTCCCCAGCTCAGCTAATTTTGAGGTACCAACCCAGGTTCAGCAACTTCGAACAGTAGATGCTCCCGTCCAACTGCTTTTAAAAGAAACTGCCTGCTCCCCCAGTGTAGCTACCGGTAGCAGGAGCGACCTTAGAGAGTCCCTCCCAAATTGTTACGTCCGTATCTTACTCAGTCCAGCAAGCAGCAACCACCGGCAGTACCTATCTCCCCGTCAGAATATTTTACGCCTCTCTGGTCTCCCTCACGATCCTCTCTGGATCTCTGGTGAGTTAAATTTGGTTCTCAACACAAAACATTTCGCAGCACGCTGGCTTGCTCCGTTTTGCAAAGCGAATGCTCTTTTTCTGGATCTATCGCTGCACCAAATATTTGCAGCCGGCGTCTTGGTACCGGTACCGGTACTGTACATCGTATGCATACGACTGTAGCTGTCTTGGTGCCTTTCAAGCGAATGCTCGAATACTCTTTTTACAACTGTGACTTGATTGAGAATCCCCTTAATTGATTGTTTCCGTGTAACTGCACGGTACAGGTACAGGTAAAGTGTCTTTAAATAAATTGCGTGCCCCTTTCTGCTCCTTCTCGAAGCTGGAGCTGAAAGCCACTCACAAGTTTGCTTTTGTTGTTGAGAGAAAGAGAGAGAGAGACCATGATGAAGAACGAGGCTCGACGAGCCGTCTCCTCCACAGATCCCACTATGCATGCATCATCATCTGATCCCACCCACCACAAATGGAGTCTTCTGCTGGACCACAAGCTCTATGACCGTGATGTTCAGAAAAAGGCCCTCCAGGATGCCTATCGGCGAAGCCACGAAGCCTCTTGGCCCGAATTGGTTTTGATTACGGGCGCATCTGGCACTGGAAAGTCTGCCTTGGCGATGTCCTTGAAGAGCTTGGTGGAACAACAAGATGGTCTCTTTATCAGTGGCAAATCGGACGATCAAGTCGACACACCCCATGGTCCCTTTGTGGCGGCCGTGGAAGACTTGGTGGATCAGTTACTCTTGTTGAGCTCATCGGATCGAAACGAATTTCGAGAAGCCGTCGCACAAGCCGTTGGAGCCGACTTGGCGTTCTTTTGCAAGGCGATTCCATATGTACGACGCTTTTTGCAAGCCAACTCGCAGCAGCAAAATCCGCTGGACGAATCCTGTCATTTTTCCGATTCTTCCTTTGGCGCCGCCGTGTCGTTGGCCAATGAAGATCCCAGTCGGTTTGTCTCGATCTTTTGTCGATTCCTCCGCTCCATTTGCGAAATTCGACATGTCACCATTCTCCTGGATGACCTGCAGTGGTTGGATCCGCAATCCCTCTTTCTGCTCGAAACTCTCTTGTTGGATCCAGCGACACAGGAGGAAGACTTGTTGCTCTTGGGCACGTGCCGTGGCAATGAAGTGGGCCAATCCGATCGATTGGCCGTGTCACTCCGACGTATGGAAGAAGAAGCCGGCGTTGTCATTACCGATATTCAGGTGCAAAACCTCAGCGTGCAAGCTTTGGATGGGATGATTGCCGACGCTTTGGAATTGCCCGAGGCATTTTCCTTGGCACAAGTGGTTCAGAAACACACCAAAGGCAATGTCTTTTTTGCCAAGCACTATTTGCGCCGTCTCGTCGACGATGGGGTGGTCTATCGCGACAGTTACACCAAGAAATGGAGGTGGGATGATACAGGTTTGTTGCAGGCATTGGCTCCGGCCGATCCCAGTGGCGACTTGATTCTACCCCTCCTGGTCCAACGATTGCAAAAACTACCCGTCCATGTCATTGAAACACTCCAAACCATGGGCTGCATGGGAAGTACTTTTAGTCGCGACATTCTGGTGCATGCCGTCCTCGAGGCAGAACCGGTAGAGGAGGCACTACAAGTTGCCGCCGAGCAGGGCTTTATCGAATACAACCAGGACACCAAGACGGGACATTTTGTGCATGACAAGTTTCGGGAAGCACCCCTCTCCATGATTGCCCCTGAGCAAGCACCTCTCTATCGTTTGACCATTGGACGCAATCTACGACGACAACTCACTACGGAACATGTCAAGGCAAACATTCTCATTATTGTCGACCAACTCAAGTGTGGCTTGGAATTGGTCACGGATCCGGAGGAACTCGATGACTTTTCCCGCTTGTTTCTATGGGCCAGCAAACAAGTGGCCAAACGATCGGCTTATGTATTAGCAGCCGAGTATGTGGATTATGGCATTTCCATTCTCAGTCGTCGTCATTGGCGCGATCAGTACAATTTGAGTTTGGCACTGTACAGTGCCGGGGCCGAATTGGCTTATTGCAATGGCGAACATGAAAAGTTGGCTCACTTAGCCAATGCCGTCTTTTCCCATGCACAGTCCATTGCCGACAAGAGCCGTGCGCAAATGGCCCAGCTCATATCCCACGATGGGGTTGGTTTGACCGATCAGGGCACCAAAATGTGTCGACAAGTGCTGGAGGAACTCAAAGTGCCATTTCCACGCAATCCAGGCCCCCTGTCGGTACTGGTAGAGTTGGTGCGAGTCAAGTGTGCCATTGGCAGAAAGACCGAAGAAGATATACTGTCACTTCCTACATTGGAAGACCAACGAGTCATCTCGGCCATGCAGGTACTCTTTGTCATGTTTTATCTGGTCGTATCGGCGAATTTGGATTGGGCACCCATTCCGGCATTCCGAATGGTGCGCTTGACACTGCAACATGGATTGAGTCCTCTAGGTACGAGAGAAGCAAACAGTACAATTCTTTGGCATCTTTGTGTGTGACGTTTTCATGCAATGCCCAGCTGACATGTACTTGCTTGTTCGTATGGATGATTCGATTCCATACATGTAGCTGCGCATGGTTTCCATCTCTATGGAATGGTCCTGGTCAAGCTGGGAAATATCGAGGATGGGTACCGCTTTGGGAGATTGGCTCTTCAATTGTTGGAGAAATTCCCATCCAAGGCTTTGGAAGCCAAAATTGGATTCTTGCATTTGTTGGTTTTCAAGTCTTCTAAGTTTTCCTACCGATCTATATTGGATCCCTTGTGGGATGCAGGCATCAGAGCTTGGGAGGCTGGTGATATGGAGGTAGGACCATCAGCATCGTTTGGTTTCCTATTGACGCATTCTGCTCTTTGTGGCATGGTTCTCATTCTGTGTTGAATTCCCGCTTGAGCAGCATGCCCTTGGCAGTGGAACCATGCATAGCAGTATTCGCCTCCTGATGGGAGACCCACTTCCGGAGGTATCCAAGGTTCTGACTCGTTATGTAGAATGCAGTTACCAATACCGTCACTATAAAGTTGGATTCTTTGCCAGGGGTGCATTGCAGGCTTGTCACAACTTGCAGGGCATGTCAAATGATCCCCTTGTCTTGACTGGTCAGTACTTGGATGAAGAGGATGCCATCCAGGAATGTGCCAATGGTATTGAGGTTTCACTTTGTGGCATTCTCCATTTCAAGATGATGATGGCAGTGGTGCTGAATGACAACGAAGCTGCTCATTCTTTGTACCAAACGCACCGTGCAAGCTTCAAAGGAAGTCTCTTTCCATTTCTGCCTCTGTATCAAAAGTTCTTTCGAGGTATGGTTGCAGCAACTTTGGCCCGGACAACGACTGGCAGGGCCCGCACACGACATCTCGCAGAAGTTGGGCGAGTGATCAAGAAGCTTAGGAAGCTCTTGGTTCACTGTCCAGACAATGTTGCCCACAAAATTGATCTGATCGAAGCTGAACTGGAATTTTGCCATGGTCGGTACTCATCAGCCCTTTTGAAGTATGACAAGGCAATCTCTGTGGCAGAGCTGAGAGGGTTTGTGAGTGTTCAAGCACTTGCTTGTGAGAAGGCTGCAAGGATGCTGACCTATGCAGGCAGAAAACAGGAGGCAACCAGTTATTTCAGGCAGGCTCACATGCATTACATGGCCTGGGGTGCACAGGTCAAAGTGGACCAGCTAGACCTACTTATGGGCTCTGAGACTCTTGAAGCTCCAGGAGCACATCCCTGCCTAGAATAATGTACATCATTTAGTTACCTACAGACTTGGCTGCAACAGAAATTGAACAATGCTGTGCAAGTTTGGAATACCAGCATTTTGTTTTGCTACCAAGCAGCAAAATGTTGCTGTAGCCTTGCCCTGAACTGAACTGCTGATCTGCCAGCTACAAACTCTCGCCGAAGACAACAATCTTTCCAATGGTTTATGCTATTTAGTAAATGATGCTCAAATGGAACATGAATGCTTGGCGAGCTGCACATCCCCTGTGAAAGCTGCCTGTCAAACGGCGCTGTCAGATCAATCAATTCACCGATCATAGCTAAGCAAGCTTGCTGAAATGGCAGACCAGGAGAAGACAGCAGCAGCGGGGCAGCCAGGGTAAGCCAGTAGCACCACAGTAGCACCAGCTGCTGTCGTAGAGAGAAACAGACTAGATTTGGTATTTGGGCGAGGCCACTTGGAACAACTATAGCGAACAAATTTTCAGTGTGAGCAAGATCATGTCACGCAAACCCCAGCCATTCTGCAGGAAAACATGTGGATCATTGCAGAGTCCACAAGCTAGTCTACACAAGGTTGGCAGCTCGTCGAAACATGGGCAAAACGTCCGTTGCTACATCGCGGCAGCAATCCCTGGGCGTCAGCTTGTGTCACAGCCTTCCAACTCCGAAAAGAAATAAATCAAGTCATCCAAGAGACTTGCAAAGATGTGAAGATTGACCGTCATCTTCAAAGATACTGTACCGGTGGCATAAAAGCATAAAAGACACCAGCGAAGCAAGAAGCCACCGGACAAAACTGGAACTTTGCGTCGTAGGATTACCCCGCCAATGACCGCTAATGAGCTGGTTGATGAGAAGATCAAAATTTGACGATTGAGGAGAGCGAGAGATTTATTGACGACAATGACTAGATGTATGCCCGGCTACAGTACATGGGCTAGCGGATCGTTGGATCTGTAGTCAGGAATCATCTGGATTCTGGATGTTTGTTGTGTTGCAAAGGAGCTGTAATTTTGCTTCTGCTTGTCTACGTGGCAGAAACTGTACCACTGGCTACTAGCTGGTAAAAGACACAACGGACACTCATCACAGCGCACCCTCCTCGACTGGAAAAACGAGGAGGCTGCGAGAAGACTAACGCCCAATAGCCACCTGTAAAAGTGGCATATTGCGAAGGCGATACATATATGTATACTACGTATTGTAGACCAACCAGCCAACCAGCCAACCAGCCCAATCAATCTTGTCAACCATACCTGTACCGGTAGAATCAAATACCACCAAGTACCGGAGGAGTTGGATTTACAGAATTTAGTTGCCGAAGTTGTAAACCTTCCAGTCTAATACCAGCAGATAGCAGAGAATCTTCACTGAGCTGGTGGGCCAGCTAGCTAGCTAGGTACATTTACATGTTGCTAAATAGTAGCCCAGAGCTTACTGTTGGACCTTGGAAGATCTGACCACTGTCTGCAATAACATGCGGGCAGTGACCTTGCAGTAGACTACATGAAGTATGTAGACAGAAAGCCATCCATTCCATCCATGTGCCGGTGCCATTCAAGATTCAAGATACTATTGTACCGTCAAGGAAAAAGTAGTATTGTTTTCGGCACTGGAACATTCTTGCTAAAGCCGCCACGGGTCGACATTTCGAGGTGGAGGATGGAAAAGTGCTGCCGCGACGAAGGACAGTGGCATCTCATGTGTACCGGTATGACGGTGGTACTTTGGGTAGCACGGTGGTTGGAGCGACAAAACCATGACTCGACTCAATACTATCCTACAACCCCCAGCCGCTTTTGACGCCCAGCAGCTCGACCCAGCACAACGCCACGTCGATTGGAACAACTTTTAAACTTCCAAGACTTGTTGTTGTGAAATCTGTGAACGCAGGAATTAGTTGCGTTGTTTCATCGATACTTTGGGAGAAACGAAGGCTTGTGCTACGTACTGCCTGGGGGGGTTCTTTTTAAAAGCATGTAAAAGTTGCATGAACTGGCGTTGGCGTATGAAACTTTGCATGTAACCTTGGCTTGTCTCCACTTCTTATGGAATCCTTTCCTTCCTCCTCGGCAGCTCAGAAGCCGGTCTTATGAGCATCCGATTTGTTTCTTGATTCAACAGCTGGATTTAACAATGGCGTGAAAGGTTAGGCTTCTCTCTTCGAAAGTAGGACTTGATAAGGTGAACCAATGACCCATCTAGACATTGTACTTCTTTATGACCTTCTTTGCAGCCAAGAGTCATTTGATAGTAAAAGTACTGAAATCTGAAACAAGGTGCTGACCAAGACAAATGAAGGTTGGTGGCTGTTTTGGCTATTTTAGATCTTTACTTCCCCTTATCAACGGCCTTATTGTCCTCCTTCAACGACCTTTAAGACTCATGTAAGACGACCTGAGAGAACATGGGCCTCTATAGATGATTGCCCTTATTGTCAAAAATTGTCACCGGTAAGCACTTGTCCAACCAGCACTGTCTGGCTGCCAAACCGGTTTTGGCCCTTGGCCACGCAGTTAGTGGAATAGTGTTAGTTGGCATGGAGCATCTCCCCTCGTTTAATTCACACCGTCTGGATTGGATTCGATTCGCGCACTGGTCAATACCAGTGGGCCCGCCGTCTGGGTTTGACCTGGGGCTTAGTTGATGGTCACATAAAATCAAAAGCTTACCAGCCAACAAACAAACATATACCAGCAGCATTCAAACATATATATACCATCATGACACTACTGGATACAATGAGCTCTACTGTCATCAACAACAACGCCGTCGCCGGCACTGAGAAGAAGAGCCTGCGCAAGAGTTTCAGCATGGGAGCTCCCAAGAAGGGCATGAAAGGCATGATCAAGCGAGGATTGTCCTTTTCCTTGAAAAAGAGCATGTCCAAACGATCACTGACTCCCATGAAGCAACGAAGAGATTCCAACGCCACCGAGTCACTCACCAGCATTGGCAGCACTGCCGATTTCCTTCCCATGGTCCGCTTTGAGACCGCCAGCAGTCGCTCCAAAAAGGTCAAGGTCCAAGTCCACGAATTCGAACGACACTCGGAAGAAGACGCGGAACACATTTGGTACACCGAAGCCGACATGCTCGAGATTATCGAAGATGTCAAGCAAACCGTACGACACTACCACAAGAACTGCGAACGATACAAGTTTGCCATGGACAAGATTTCCCAAAAATGTGCTTCCGCCAGTGCCAATGACGACGACAGTGATAATGACTGCATTACCGCTCAATTTGATGCCCGCGTCTTGGAACAACTCTCCAATGCCGCCGCACGAGGCCTCGAACATCACATTGCGCCTCGTGTGAACGATACCCGCAAAGAGATTATCCAACAAGTTGTACAAGCCCAAGACGATCTCTATTACAACCCCAAGCTCAGCAAGGAGCAAAAGGAAGAACAGCTCGCCGCACAATACTCTCGTCTGGCACGAACGGCCGCACGGCTGGCCAAGACCATGGGAGATGGCGATGCCATGGTGGCAAGCACCGTGGCTGCCGTGTCCGCATAAAAGGCTCCTCTTCTTCCTTCCATTCATAGCCTCCTCAGATCACGCCTTCCCACGAATTTTTTATTACTCTTTTCTAACATCTTAATTCTAGACCACTTGTACACTATCGGTACTACGCTCATCATTATTAATATCTATCTTAGCCCTAGTAGCTACTCTAGCACCTATCATTCTCTTAGCTAACGGCACGCCAGTGCTAGCTTAATCCCATCCCCCAGGCCAGAGATGACAGCTTCGTATGTCAACCACATACGGTACATCTATCTTATCTTTGCTCAGCCATCACACTTGGCGCTTTAGGGCGGCTGTTAGCTGGGCTTCTGGAGTGGAGTCGGGTCTCCCAGTTACCTTGCCACTTGACTAGACTACTATACTAGGCTTTTACAACCCCCATAGCGGATGATTCGATTCGATTCCACCGCCCAAACAGCCTCGGGCGGCCATAAAAACTAGACAGATAATCCGCTGGTCGAAGCAACGCCACACCTTTGTAGCTGACCGCTCATGGATCGTCCGCCAATTTCGTAGACTGCATACATCTATCCAGCTGGCTAGCTAGTAGGCTTTTACATCACCAAAGGAGGATGTTTCCGTCTCCCAGGAATCATCAGGAAGCCAACATCAGATTCTAGCTAGCTAGTGGCAGCCAGAGGAGTCGACAGCCTCGAACGTCAACCACACCCATCAGCTGACTAAAATTGGCTGGGCCAACAGACAACCCCGACCGAAGCAACGCCACACCTCTCGGCTGCTTTTATTATCCATCGCCACATCGCCACACCTTTCGGCTGGCCGCTTCTATTTTTTCGTCCATTCCGGCATACTGGTACGGGGTACGGTAGAGGTGGATGCAGAGCTGTATGCAGCGTACCTGTAAGAAGTGAAATGCTACGTGACGAGGAGCATCCACGAAGCACCGACTCAAATCTAGTGAGATCCAACCATTAAACCTCACACGGAAGCCGAGTCTTCAATACAAGCGATTACAATAAGTATCTCTTGTCTTGCTTTCAATCCAAGTCTCCAATTCGCTTCTCGGGAATGGTACTGGATGTACAGAGATGTCTACAGGAGGGCCCTTCCACTTTGCAGCGTGACTGAAATGGTTAATTCAATGAACGGTTCACTGGCTCTTGAGAACGCAAGGTAAACTTTGCCTGTAGAAATGGTACCACAACGTACCAAAAGGGTGATATCTTTCGGCGAGCCTGTGAAAGGTGTGTTGGGTGATGTTGAGTGAAGCCGAGCTGAAGTTGTGACGTTGTCATGCATGCTTCTCACAAAAAAAGATTCTCACAAAACAAAATCAATTGTGCAACAAACAACAAATACCCTACCAGTATCTTTCTACTCTTTCTATTCAAGCAGTGACATCCGCAATGATGTTTTCTCTGATGTTTTCCAAGGGCGCAGCACTGCTCTCCTTGCTCATGTTGGCTTCTGGCCCCTCGTTGGCGGATTCCAAGATGATATTGCAACAGGAACTGTTCGGAACCGATGTCGCGGCATTCGACGATAGTTGGGCCGGTGCCGTGGCGATTGAAGGAGACATTGCAGTGGTCGGTGCCCATGGCGATGATATCAACCGCACAACCATTGAACCTGGATCCGTCTTTATCTTTGAAAAGGATGCCGCCACCGGCGAGTGGACCGAATTGCAGCAAATCTTTGCCGGTCTCGCGGACGACGGAGATGAGTTTGGAAAATCGCTGGTCCTCGAAGGAACGCTACTTGTTGTGGGAGCTCCTTCCAGCGAGGAGGATGACCTTCTCCGTGCCGGATCGGTTTATATCTTTGAACGAACTGGAACAAACCCTGGTGATAAATTTCAATTTATGATGAAATTGATTTCCCCTGACGGCCCGCGGGCCTCCGGAGAATTTGGCTATTCGGTGGATATTTCGGGTGATACAATCATCATAGGCGAACCAAATGATCCCTGGTCCGACATTGTGGCCGGCTTTGCGCATATCTATGAGCGAGATGGAGCAGATGTGTGGGGTTTCGGACAGACTCTTACCATTCCACAAGACTTTGCGACCGACTTGGAAAACGACGAGTTTGGAACTTCCGTCGCAGTCGATGGGGACACGGCTGTCATTGGAGCTCCTGGTGTGAGCTTGGCATTTGTTTATTCTCGTGCTGCCACTTTGACAGAGTGGGAGTTGGAGTCCACCCTTGAATCCACCGACGAGTTGACGACCGAGTTTGGATCGTCGGTCGATATTGACGGAGACATGCTCGTGGTGAACACCCTAGCTTACGGGGAGAATTTGCACGTCTTTTTTCGAGATCCCACTGACAATTCGTGGACGTTTGATGCGGTTTTACTGACTGGGAGCTTTGATGTTGCCATCTCGGATGGATTTATTGTGGGAGGTGATGTCTGGGTTCGCTACAACGAAACATGGCAGGAGATTGATGGGCTCAAGTTTGCAACCGCCGTTGCGATCTCTGGAAACCAAGTCATTGCAGGAGACACCAGCGTTAATGCTTTCATTTATACGATCCCTGAAGCTCTGTGGTTTCAAACACAGCAGTTGGAAGCAAACGCGGCAGACTCCAATGAAAACTTTGGAGAGGCCATGGATATTGACAACGTGAACGACAACATGGTGATCTGTGACGCAGAACACTCTGACGGATCGGTCGGAAGGGCCTATCTCTATGAGCGTGTGGATGGCGAATGGTCCAACATTCAGGTGCTCACGGAAGGTCCAGCTGGTGAGGACTATGAGTACTGCTCGGATGCAGCAATCGACGGTGAATGGCTTGCGGTAGTAGCAAACGGCGGCGTCCACGTGTATCAACTAGTGGACGGTCTCTGGGTGAACTTTCAAGACCTGCAACTCCCTCTCGGTGTCGGCGACTGCTTTTCCTGCTCCTTTTCCTTTGTGGATCTCAGTGACGACACCCTGATCTTGGGTCAATATGGCATCATCAGCCCTGGAGCCGCTCACATCTTTTCCAATGACGGGACCGAATGGTCCTATCTCCAAACACTTGAATCCCCCGATGGTGGTCCCGATGATAATTTTGGTTTCCTCGGCGGAGTGTCATCGGATCAAATTCTGGTGACTGACGATGAAAATGATAGCAACGGTGATAAGGCAGGCAGTGTCTACGCGTATGCCCGAACCCCGGACGGTGATTGGGAATTTGAACAAAAGATTGTTCTCGAGACACCATCCCCCGGTGCTGAATTCGGATCGAGATTGGCATTTAGCAATGGTGTGGCTGTCGTTGCAGTCAGTGGTCTTCATCGGTACAGCGAGAACAAGTACGTTGTGTCGAAGGACTCAACTGGTTGGGGCATCCGTAGCGTGGTCCAGACAGATGGATTCGTTTTGGGATTGTCTGGAGACGCCACAAGGATTGCAACACCAACGGTGAGCTTCACGCAACTTAGCAACGGAACTTGGGTGGAGGATCTCTCCTTTGAGGACTATCGCCCAGGCCGAGCCGTGGCGGTTTCCTCGTCAGGGGATGCCGTAATCATTGTCGAGCACGATAATACTGCCCAGGTCTATTCGTTGGTCGATATCCTGGGTGCTGAAGAGGAGACCTCATCGAATGTTGGCACAGGCGTGGGAGCCAGCAGGTTGGGCGAATTCCCTTAGGTGTGCTTTTGGCCGCACAAGGCCGGTATCAGGCTGCTGGAGATTCCAGACATTCTTACATGTAGTATTGGAAGAAACTTATAGTGAACGATTTAACTGATGACTACAACAATGCAGCCGTACGGTACGGTACGGTACGGTACGGTACGGTACGGTACGGTACGGTACGGTACGGTACGGTACGGTACTAGCTAGTGCCCTACTAGTGAACAAGTAAAATGATACGAAACGGCACTCTAGCTTCCAATGCATGCATGTGTTGTTGCTTGTACCGGTACCAGGTATTACGCCAGAGATTGCTTGCCTCCTTCTGCAAATCTGACACTTCGCTCTGTACTGTACAATGCCCTGCCGGTACACTCATTACTCCCGTTGGCACACTTACTCCTAGCGCCTCGGAGTTGTTGCTGTGCTCGATCGATCTGCTTCGTGGCTTGCTTATGCTTCCCCACAACCCGAGAAACGACTCCTTTGTCGTGCTAAAGCAAGAGCCTCACCTCCACCGCTTCGATGGTTCCGGACGTGGCGTGGAAAATTCACCGTGACATAAGTAATTGATGGGAGTGGAAACTTCAGAGGATGCCCGCCACCGCACGTGTCCTCCTCGGTTGCCATCGTTTCACTGTCTACTTGCCAATCTTGTGAGCTAACGGGAAGCTGTTTGAATTTTCTTGCATCCAAGAACGCAACTACCGTCACATTCTCACTAAAACTAGTTTTGTGTTGGGCACGATGGAGTACGTCTTTGGCAGCGCACCATCGCTGTCGTTGCAGCTAACGACAGCGCTGCCCCAGGGAAACCAAGGCTATGAAGAGTTTGTGCGAAAGGGTTCCTGTCGGAAATGTGGAGTGACTGCCTATGGGAAACGAAAATGTGAACGTTGCGCCCGCAAATTCTGTGCCGCATGTGCTCCTTCCTCTCTGCAAAAATACGG